TTCTAAATATGGAGAGGAAATAAATAACATAAAGAAGTGAGCAAAATATATAAATGGCTCTCAGAAAAAGAATTTCCAGGGCAGACAGGTGGCATGGTGGTTTAAGTGTTGAACTCCCACATGGCTGATCACAGTTTGAGTCCTGAACCTGGTGACTTGCTTTCTCACTTTCTCTCTTTGGTCAAATTAAGAAAAAAAATAATGGGACCAGTAGTTAGCATAATGGCTATGTTGCTGGACTCCCATGTAGTCGACTGTGATTCCAGTCCTGGACCCGGTCGCTTAAACTCACGCGGGGTGTGTGTGCGTGCGTGCCCAAGATCCTGAGAGGAGAATGGAGGAGAAAGGATTGCAGTGTGGCCATCGCCCTGGGAGGTGATTTCTTGCTTTCTGTCTCTCTGTCTCTCTCTGTCTTTCTGGCAAATGCAGGTGCCCTATAGCAAAAACCTCTAAAATAAAAAAATAATAATAATAATAAATTAAATTAAATAATTAAAAAATATTTATTATTATTATTATTGTTAATATTATTTTTCACATGAGTTTTGCCAGAGAAAGACAGAGAGAGAGGGAGCGTGAGAAAGCAAGCTGCCAGGTCCAGGACTCAAACCATGCCCAGCCATGTGAGAATTCCAACACCTTAACCACCACGCCACCTGCTGGCTCCAATTAAATAATTTTTTAAAAAGAAATGAAAAAGAGAATTCCTTTAATCATCTGAAAATATGTTCAATCTTGCTCATAATAAGATCAATGCAAATTATAGCTATAGACCTATTTATCCCTTATAAATAGGCAAAAATCCAAAATTGGATGACTTGTTTTGTTGACATGACTGTGAGGAAGGAAACACTCTCATATGTGGACTAGCTATGTGTAAAATGTGTAAAATGATACACTTCTGTGGAGAAGGATTTGGAAAGATCTAGCAAAATTACATTATCATTTACCCTTTGACCCAGCAATACCATCAACCCATGGAAACACTTGCAAAACAAAACAAAACAAAACAAAAACAATGAACAAAAACTTAAAAAAGGAAGGTAAAAATAAAAGCAAAAATGAAATGAAAAGCTATGCACAAGGTTATCCACTTTGTAACATCAAAAAATGGAAGCAATCCAAAAGCCTCTCAATAGAGAACAGATGACATAAGCTACCAGATAGCCACATGTTGAGGACTAAACAGATAAGAAAATAAATGAGGAAGATCTGTTAATATATGCAGTGCTCTTTAGGCATGTTTTTAAACAATAAAAACCAAATGAACAGTGTTTATAGCATGCTAGCTAGCTTTAACTAAGAATGGGGCAGAGGGACTAGCAGATGGCATAATGGTTATGTCCCTAGACTCCCACATAGTCGACTGCAGTTCAAGTCCTGGAAGCTTGAAACTCAAGCTGGACACATGTGCACGCATGCCCAAAATCCCAAGAGGAGAATAGAGGAGAAGGGATTGCAGTGTGCCATCCTCCTTTGGGATGTGTAGGGGGGTGATTTCTTGTTTTCTGTCTTTTGGTCTCTTGTCTTTCCAGCAAGTGCACACACCCCATAGCAAACCAACTTTCAAAAAAAAAAAAAAAAAGGGGGTGGGGTAGAAATATATGTGAGTGTGTATATACGTATACATGTATTTATATTTTTAGTATTTATACTTTTTAAAATGGAAAATAATAGAGAATAAAAATGGTTATGTATAGGGGAAAGGAGGGATCAGGGTAGAAAGATTAAGGATGGAAGCTAGATTTTTTGGAAAGTATTGGGTTGTGTATTTTTATTTACTAGATATCCTTAACAGTTAAAAAATTCACAGAATTTTCCAGAGGAGTTGGGAGGCTTTGATTGAAACTACACTCAAACCCAGTTGTTCCTTGTGTCCTGCTTTTGTCCCATTTTCCCCCACAGGTGTTGATTCCGAGAACACTCTAATAAATTTCCTACACACTAAATTCCAGCTAAGAATATGTTTCCTGGGGACTCCAGCTGCAACATGTGGTGTGAGGAGGGTTTACAAAAGCAGTCACTGGGGCCAGCAAGTGGTGTGGTGTTTAAGATACTTGATTCCCATATGGCTGACCAAGGTTCAAGTCCTGGACCAGGGGCCTTGAAAATCATGCTGGGTGCATGTGCATGTGTGCCCCAAATCCCAGGAGGAGAATAGAGGAGAAGGTATTGCACGAAGGGGATGGCCATGCTGCAATCATTTTCCTTCTATCTCTCTCTAGTGAGTGCATGTGTCCTATGGCAAAAACTTTAAGGAAAAAAAAAAGCAGTCACTATAGTGGAATTTTGATGTTGGGTCAATTAATTAGTTCAGTGATGACTTTCCTTTGTAGATCCTGTTTGATGGTTAAAGATGCAGTTATAAAAATGGGCCCATTAATTGCATTGGAGATGATAGGACTGTCCTTCCTCACCCTTACCTCTATCTCTGTGGGTGTAATAGAAGCCAGGTAGCATAACTTAATTATCAGAATTGAGTTAGATGCAATTATTGTAATGAGTAGAAAAGTCGGAGTGGAAGATGAGAAGTCTATGAGAGTTTCAGAGATGGTTAATGGAACACAGTTGCAAAGTAAATGGGTAACCAAACCGTATAAACAAAACAAGTCAAGGGTGGTTAATCAGGATGCTGAGAGCAGTGATCCCAGTAAAATGTCACAATCTCTTTTTCTGTTTCCAGACCTGAGCTAATATGCAAACCTACTGACTGAAGGAGATCCCTGTTTGGGGGATGAAGGAGCCTGCAACAGCTTGTCAACTGTGTAGAGAAATGATTTCTAGTCTTTCCTACAGAGATTTTCAATTGCCTACTCTCTATATACTGAGGAAATGGAAATACTGAAACTTTACAGGATTTGGATTTAGTGTTCAAACTGATGTTGACATTCACAGCAACATCAGGGACTCCTGTTAGAGAAGGCAAAGATAGGTGTTAATTAATAAGATCTGGCTCACTAAGTCTTCAGGCCTATCTAACAATTATTTCCCAGCCCTGACTATAGTTGGAACAGTCATACTAGGTATTTGGCATAATCCACATGAGTTCCTTGACATCAAGAGTAAAAGTGATCATATGTGGAAGGCCAAGTGAAAGCTCTTCCCTTGGCAAGGCAGTCAGACAAAAAACAACATTGCATCTAGAGGAGGGAAGAAATGGTAGAGATTAGGGTCAACTCAAAACCTAAAGGATGCAAGGGTCATATAGCTCCTTTTAATTACCATCAAGACCCTACAGCAAGCAAATGTGTCCTGGAGAGTCTCCGCGTATCATGTGAACTCATCCAAGTGGTAAACATTACAACTCCTGTGACATTTATAATTAGAGAGTATTGACACAGTCACAGATATATCGTATATAGCCGGTGACCTGGCAAATACATTCTTTTCCATCCTTATCTGAAAGGAGGATCAGAAATAGTTCACATTCACTTGGAATGGACATTAATATCTTATTTCTCATTAATAGTCTTATAATGGGAACAGATCTAAACCAGCTAGAAATTTCATGAAACTTCACGTTGGTCCATTCTATCAGTGACATAATCCTAATCAGACCCAAGTCTACTTGGTAAGTCTACTCAAAACCTGCATCCAGGTTGACATTGATCCACTAACCAATGGATCCCATCTACAAATGAAGCCACTCAACTGCAATATTACCTATCCTAAAGTTCATATATTTACCCCTATAGATAGCATGTTTCTAAAACAAAGATGTACCGTGTTTTTCTCCTTTGTATTATGGAGAAATGTTATGAGTGACATAAGTCTAATCCTTTCTTGGGGGATTAGACAGAAAAAAATGTAATGTATTGGCTTACATAATTGAAAGGTGAGACTAAAAATGGCTTCAGGCAGGGGTCCAGCAAATGGTGTGGTGGTTAACATGTTGAACTCTCAAAAGGACGACCTGGCCAATTGCTTTCTCACTTTCTCTCTCTCTCTCTCTCTCTCTCCCTCTCTCTGGTGAATGCATGTGCCCTATAGCAAGTTAAAATAATAAATAAATAAATAAATACAATTAAATAAATAATTCTTAAAAAAATGGCTTCAGGCATATGTAGATCCTGGACTCAAGTGAAAGCTTCAAAATTCAATCTCAGGGACCAATAAGTGGCATGGTAGTTAAGGTGCTGGACTCACACATGGCTGACCGACCACTTGATTACTCATTTTCCCTTTCTCTGTCTCTCTCTCTCTGGTGAGCACACCTATCACAAATTTAACAAGACATAATAATAATAAATAAAATTAAATAAATCATTCTTAAAAAAGATTCAATCTCACTTTCATCTCTTGGTTCTTTTATTCCTCTGTCAAGCTCTCACCACATGGTGGCAGGATAGCTCCTTGGCAACTCAGGGGACCTCCTCCTCGCATTAACTCCTGCTAAGAAATAACAAGTCTTTTCTCTTGCTACGCTGGCAAAAATTCAGAATTGGCTTTGATTACACTGATCTTGGTTTTTTTTTTTTTTTTTTTTTTTTTATTGACCTAGTCACTGTGGACAGGGGCATAGAAAATACTGCTTAGCCAGGACTTGATCTGGAGAAGGATCAATCCCACCCAATGCACACGGATTGAGAGTGTACCCCAGGGGTTCCTTCATTGACAATGAGTGCTGTTACCAGAAAAGGAAGGATGGGCAGTTGGAATGTGGATGTTCACTACTTCTCCCGAGCTTAGAGACAGGCGGGCAACCAAACCGCACACCTTAGTTTTACATTTTATTTTTTACATTGCAAAATAAATATATAGCATGTTACAGAATACTTAAAATATAGAGACCTCGCACGCCACTGTGCGAACACAGCGGTTTCAATCGTTTTGATATATCCCATCCCGCTTCAGCACACCTTTGCAACCTTGACCTTGGCGCACTGCCATCCCGGCGGAACCGAGGCGCTGCAACGCGGCGCGCCGTCGCCATGGTAACTGCGGAAGCCGGCGGAGGGAGCGGTGAGTTGGGGTCTCGCGCCCCGGGCGGGTGGGCTCTCGGCTTCGCATGGGGGGCGCGGGCGGGCGGGTATCTTCCCTCCACGCTGCGCTCGGTAGGGAGTGGGCTTCCACCGCCGCGTCCTCAGGTTCTGCCTCTGCCCGAGCTCGGCGTGCGATCCAGTCCCGCGGACCGCCCCAGGGGATCACAGAAGGCCCATCTCGGAGCCCAGAGGGACCAGTGACCCGAACCGCTCGGTGGGTCGTCGCGGGATGCGCGGTGGGGTGGCAGCCCTCTGGACGCTGTTGCCTAGGCCTTTCCTTTGTTTAACCCAGGCTGTCCAAGGCTGCCCGTGGGGCCTTCTTTTTGAGCTGGGACTTAGAAAATCCTCAGGAGACTACATTTATTGGAAGGAAAAATTCAGTTGGCTTAAAGACTTTTCACCATCTGCTCCTCTGTCACTTCAGGCTACCTCGTTTGCCTCCTTGCCCTTTGTTGGTGCTCTCCTGGTGACTGGGATGGCCCCCTTTCTTTTCCTTTTAAGACTCATCGTTTTATTGAATATTGAATTGTCGGCTTTTCTGGGCAGGCTTTCCACACTGCCCACCCTGAGTCTAACGTAGAAGTCAACCCTTTTTACTCCCAAAGCACTCTTGGCTACCTCCTTTGTGTCCCTTGGCACACTGGCGTTGCTGGTTTATTTGTGCTTTCCCTGCTAGACTGTGCGGGCCTGTGCAGGAGGGACCATGATCTGAGTGTTTTTCTATTACTGGGCCTGAGCAGCCTCCAGAGCATTCGCACTCTAGTTAAAAGTTTGCAGGGCCGGCTCCCGAACAGTTGTGGTAATTGGCTGCTCAAGAGAACCGGGATCCCAAATGGCAACTGTGGTTTGGATGCCCTACCTGGTCAGCCTGAAGCTGCTGCTGGGCAGACTCCAGCGGACCGGAGATTGGGGCTGGAGAACAGGAGAAAGGCCACGTGGCATGGGGAGGCTCTCTGGAGGGTGCTCACCTCTTTCTACTTCCTGGGGCTGCATATACTCTCACCTACGGGTATGCGTGCTCTATCTTAAATACACAAAAAACGTTTGTCTTCTTTTCAGAAAAGTTATGTTATTAATATATAATGGAATCAGGTAAGGCTATACTATTCTGCCTATTGTGCCAGTCTTCCTGGTGTAGAGGGTGTTCTTTGCCATTATAGGGTTCTTGGTTATAACCTGTGGGCCATGTACATTATGAACAGGCTCTTTTTTTTTTTTTGGAGAGATTTTTTTCACTATAGGGCGCATGCGCTCACCAGACAGACAGAGAGAGACATTAGAGACAGAAAGCAAGAAATCACCCCCCAGGGGAGATGGTCACGCCGCAATCCCTTCTCCTCCATTCTCCTCTTGGGATCTTGGGCACGCACGCACACGTGCCCGGCGTGAGTTTTAAGCCACCGGGTTCGGGACGCGAACCGCGGTCGACTACATGGGAGTCCAGCGACATAGCCATTACGCTAACTGCTGGTTCCCAGGCTCTCTTGATTTGGCCAGGACTTCATAGCTCTCCCAGCTCACTCAGTTTTACTGAGCTGCTGCTGAGACTCCCCTTCAGCCCTTTGGAGTGGTTTGCCCTAGGGCCCTTCTTCTGTCCCTATAGAATCTCCACAACCTGCTATAGCAGCCTGGTTGGGGCAAGCCCGCAGCAAGAATCTTCACTCTATCTAGGTCTCATATATATCTTAAAGCAGTGGCCCACAAACTTTGTTCTTCGGATTCTACTACACTTCTTCTTCTTCTCCTTTTTATTTATTTATTTATTTTTTTGAAGAGGTTTTTGCTATAGGGCATGTGTACTCGCCAGAAAGACAGAGAGAGATGGAGAGACAAAAAGCGAGAAATCACCCCCCAGTGGGGATGGCCACACCACAGTCTTTTCTTCCCCATTCTTCTCTTGGGATCTTGAGCACACATGCACAAGCGTCTCGCGTGAGTTTAAGCCACTGGGTCTGGGACTCAAACCACAGTGGACTACATGGGAGTCCAGTGACACAGCCATTACGCCAACTGCTGGTCCCTCTATTATACTTCTTAAAAGTTTTTATTTTTGCTATGGGGCATTTTATTTTTGCTATTGTCCAAGAGAGAGAAGAAGAAAGAAAGGGAAAGTGAGAAATCACCCCCCTCCCAGGAGGGATGCCATGACACACTCCCTTCTTCATTCTTTTCTAGGGATTTTGGGAATTCATGCTCATGTGTTTCACCTGTTTCTCAAGCTGCTGGGTCTGGAACTCGAACCACACCGTTGGCCATGTGGCATCCAGTCACCTTAAGCATCATGCCAATGGCTAGCCCAGGACGCTATTATACTCTTAGCAATTGTTGATCCAAAGAACTTTTCTTTGTGTGTCATAGCTACTCAAACAGTATTAGAAATATACAGTAGTAAGAATTAGAAATTACACTGAAGATTTTTAAAATGTATATTAATTCCTAAAAATATATAAAAAATAAATACATGTTAACACAAATTGCATATTTCTCAAGAAAAGTAACTTCCAAAACAAGAAAAAGATTGGTGAGAAAGTGACATCATTTTACATTTCTGGAAATACATTTAATTTCTGGCTTAATAGAGAGACTCACATCTGCTTCTGCAGTTTGTTGCAATATGTTGTTTTAGTTGAAATATTTAAAGAAAACTGTTTCTCATATAGATATAAGTTAGAAAAAAGAGAGTTTTAGTTTTTTTAGATAATTGCACTTTTTTTTTGGTGATTATCAAAACACAACTGGTAGTTTCTATTTTTTTTTTTTTTTTGGAGAGGTTTTTCGCTATAGGGCGCGTGCGTTCGCCAGACAGACAGAGAGAGACATAGAGACAGAAAGCAAGAAATCACCCCCCAGGGGGGATGGTCATGCCACAATCCCTTCTCCTCCATTCTCCTCTCGGGATCTTGGGCACGCACGCACATGTGCCCGGCGTGAGTTTTAAGCCACCGGGTCCGGGATGCGAACCGCGGTCAACTACGTGGGAGTCCAGCGACATAGCCATTACATTAACTGTTGGTTCTCACAACTGGTAGTTTCTTAAAGGCTAGTTGCAACATGGAATCTGAAGCAGTATCAATAAACTTTGTATATTGTATTGCATTAAAATCTATTGGTCTGTCTTATACTTTGAATGTATCGTTTGCACGTATGTGATTTTAGATCATGGAAACGGTGGGGAGTAAAGCAGATTTTGTAAAGCTGTTATTGGTAAAATATTGGTTCATTTAGTTATACCAGTTTTCTAAATGTTACATGTTTCATGCTATCTTTTAAAAAATCACTTTCCTGGGACCAGCAGTTAGCGTAATGGCTATGTCACTGAACTCCCACATAGTCAACCACAGTTCGAGTCCCAGACCCGGTGGCTAAACTCACGGCGGGCACTTGTGTATGCCTGGGGGGTGATTTCTCCCTTTCTGTCTCTCTGTCTCTCTCTGTCTTTCTGACGAGCGCACACACCCTATAGCAAAAAAACCTCTCAAACAAACAAAAAAATTACTTTCCTTAATATTACCACTGGTCTCATCAGAAAAATACTGCTCACAATGGCCAACGCATGGTCAGTACAGGTTTTCTAAAATACTAATTAGAATTCTCCAGAGAAACAGACCAATATAATATGTATATATTCACATGTAAATAAATATTAATAAAAAGATTTATTATAAGGAATTGGCTCATGAAATTATGGAGGCTATAAAGTTTTAAGATTTATGTTTGGAGATCTAAGAGAGCCATTGGTGTAGTTCCAGTCTGAGTCCTCAGACCTGAAAAATAGAAAAGCTGATGGGTCCAAGTTCTATTCAAGAGAAATGGAATGTTGTTTTTTAAAAAGTCTAATTAAAAGAAAAGAAACAGGGCTCTATTCCAAGAGGAAAGGAGATTAATTTTGGGAAAGACAGTTTGTAGTGTGTATCTGAATACTGTATCAGGAGCTCACATCATCACTGGGAAGCTGGAAATGAACAGGCATCAGGAACTCTGGAAATTCAGATCACAAGAACCACAGCATATTCTCATAGCGGGAGACCGCTTCTGTCACTTGTGATGAATGGTCTCCAAGTAGCTTCATGTCTTTGCGTTGCTTGTTTAAGAGGCAAGTATTGGTTTAGCTGTCATGGCTGAGAGGTAACACAAGTATTCGGCCAAGCTGGAAGCCACATGGCCCAACTGCAGGTTTGAATCCCCTGGTGGCCTTGAAAATAGACTGGGCATAGGCAAGTGCCCAGGACCCTGAGGAACTGGAAGGCTAGAGAAAGGGGTTTGTGGAATGATGAAGCCCTGTTGAGAGAGCATATCTCTCTCTCTCTCTGTGTTTCATACGTGCTTTCTATAGAACAAAAACATGGAATCGAGTGGCTGATGGGCTGAACCTAAGTCAGGTGCCTGTCTCCAAGATTGTAATGAGCAGGAAAGGAGGAGGATCTTGGCTTTGCTGTCTGTTGTGAGAAGGTAGCTTTGTCATCCAGTAGAAGAATTCCCTAAAACAAAGTTTGAATGTTTTAAGGAAGTGTATTTGTGTGTGTGTGTTTGTGTGTTGGAAGGCTAGAGAGTTGGATGCCAAGCACACAAAAGGATTTTAAGTTTCTACTATACTTATTCTGTAAATGAAAGAATTGGAGTAACAATCTCAAAAATGAGGTTTGGACTTAAATGTTACAGTGGAGTCATGGTTGATTGGCTGACTCAACTCCCATTTCTAATCCCATTTAGCTTGCATGCTTACATTATAGAGACTGGAAAATTGAGAAACTTGCCGGGGTGTTTTTTCCTTCTTTTAAAGATACGGAGAGCTACATTATGTAGTTTAGCAATTGAGATATAACTGGAGGTTTGTTGAGACTTGTTAGGAAATACTTTGTTTGCTTTCATCTTAAAAGGACTGATATCTCTGGTATCCTCTAGGAGATTTCTTCCTTTTTTCTTGCCGTGCATAAAAACGCGAGTTATTGGAACCAGCAGATAGTGTAGCGGTTATGTCACTGAACTCCTGTGTAGTTGACCCTGGTTTGTGTCCCAAACCTCGGGGTTTAAAACTCATGCTGGGCGTGTGTGTGTGTATGTGTGTGTGTGTGTGTGTGTGTGAATACACAAGGCACGTGTGTATGTCTGCCCAAAATCCTGAGAGGAGAATTGAGGAGAAAGGATTGCATCATGGTCATCCCCCATGTACCCTATAGCAAAAATCTCTCTCTCAAAAGAAAAAGAAAAAGAAAAAAAGTGAGTTATGACAGCTATCCTGTCACCCTGAGACAATAGTCACGAAGATGAAAGTCTTACATAGTAATTATGATTGAATACAATGATAGAAAAAGCTTGGATCTATATATTTGTGCTGAATAATCTCCATCTTTTTTTTTTTTTTTTTTTTTTTTGAGAGGTTTTTGCTACAGGGCACATGCACTTTCCAGAAAGACAGAGACAGAAAGCGAGAAATCACCCCCCCCACCTCCCCGGGGGGGATGGCCACCTGCAATCCCTTCTCCTCCATTCTCCTCTCGGAGTCTGGCATGAATTTAAGCCACCGGGTCTGGGACTCAAACTGCAATAGACTACATGGGAGTCTAGCGACATAGCCATTACACCAACTGCTGGGCCTGAATAATCTCCATCTTTAAATTTCTTCTTAGGGGAGAAAAGAATCTCTTGCCCTTTTTTTTTTTTTCTTTTTTCTTTTTAGAGCACATTCACTTGTGAGAGAGAGAGAGAGAGAGAGATCAGCTTCTCTAGGAGGTTGACCATGCCACAATCCCTTCTCTTCCACTCTTCTTTCAAGATTTTGGGAATACACATGCCCACACCCAGTATGTTCCTCATGCCACCAGCTCCAGAACTCAAACTGCATAGTTGTCCATGTGGGATCCAGTCACCTTAACTATCATGCCACTTAGCTGTCCCAGCACCATTTTTTTTTTTTTTTTGGAGAGATTTTCGCTATAGGGTGTGTGCGCTTGGTAGACAGAGAAAGACATTAGAGACAGAAAGCGAGAAATCACCCCCCAAAGGGGATGGTCACGCTGCAATCCCTTCTCCTCCATTCTCCTCTCGGGATCTTGGGCGCGCACGCACATGCGCCCGGCGTGAGTTTTAAGCCACCAGGTCTGGGACGCGAACCGCGGTTGACTACGTGGGAGTCCAGCGACATAGCCATTACGCTAACTGCTGATTCCCACCCAGCACCATTTTTTGAAGAGACTGTTCCTACCCAAATCAATGTTCTTGGCACCTTTGCCAAAAAATCACTTGACTGTAGTACATGATTTATTTGGGGGTTCTCTTTTCTGTTTCACTGGTATCTAGGTTTTTTTATGCCAGTACTATGCTGGATTGGTTATTATATCTTTGTAGTATATTTTAATATCTGATAGTGGGATGTCTCTAGCTTCAATCTTTTTGCTCAGGACTGATTTGGTTATTTGAGTCTTTTGTGGATCCATATGAACTTTATGACTTTTTTTCTATTTCTGTGAAAAATGCCATTGGTATTTTGATAGGTATTTCATTGATTCTGTATATCAATTTTGGTCATACTGATATTTAAATAATATTGATTCTTCTAGTCCATGAACATGGGATGTCTTTGTATTTCTTTGTGTATTCTTCAGTTTATTTTAGCAGTGTTTCATAGTTTTTATTGAGAGATGAAATAAAATTTATTGTGCATCTGGCCTGTTCAGGTTGAAACATGTTGGTATGCTCATGAGTACCCAAGATTTGATGGGCTGAAGAACTGGAGGAAGAGGATCATTGCATGACCAGACCCTGTGGTGCTCTTATCTGTCCCTCTCTCTCTGAAGTGTGTGTACATGTATTTTATCATAAGTAAAGATGTATAATAAATAGTGAATGAACAAGTATCCTACTTTATAATTATAATTATATATATTATATTATACCTTATACTTTTTAAATAATTATATTCAACCTGTTTAAGTATTTTCATCCTTCACCTCTTTGGTTAGATTTATTCCTACTTTCTCTCTCTCTCTCTTTTTCTGGTGTTGCTATTGCAAATAAAATTCCTTTCTCTTTCAGCAAGTTTGTTATTGATATGTGAAAATACTACTGATTTTTGTATGTGGGTTTTGTATCTTGCTACTTTACTAAAATTGTTTTATCAGTTCTAAGGGTTTTTGGGCATATTTTAGCTTATTTAAATATATAAGACCATGTGGGCTGCAGAGAGAGACAGTTTGATTCTTTTCCAATTTGGATATCATTTATTTCTTTCTCTTGTCTAATTGCTCTAGCTAGGGCTTCCAGTACTATATTGAATAGAAGTGTGGTGAAAAATGGACATTCTTGTATTATTTTGGTTTTTAGAGGGAAAATTTTTAATTTTTTTCTTATTTAGTATGATGTTAGTTATGTGTTTGTCATAAATATCCTTTACTATGTTGGGGTATACCCTTGCTTGCCAATTTGTTGAGGGTTTTTATCATAAAGGATGTTGTTTTATCAAATGCTTTTTTCTGCATTTATTCAATGATCATATGGTTTTTGGTCCTTGAGTCTATTGATGCAATATCATATCTATCGATCTGTGAATGTTGAGCCATCCTTTCATACCTGGGATAAATCCTATCTTGTCATAGTGTATAGTCTTTTTGCTTTTTTTTTTTTTTTTTTTTTTTTTTTTAGTATTTTATTGAGGGCCTTTGCACCCATGCTCATCAGGGATATTTCTCTGTTCACTGTTTTCTTGTTTTGGTATGAAGAGAATGCTGGTCTCAAAGAATGAGTCTGGCAGACCAACAGGTGGTATAATGCTGATGGTGCTGGAATCCCATTGGTCCAAGTACTAGACTTAGCATCTTAAAACTCATACCAGGTGTGCATATGTGTGTATGCCCAAAATCAGGAGAATGAAGAAGAAGGGATTGTGGGGACCAGCAGTTAGTGTAATGGCTATGTCGCTGAACTCCCACGTAGTCGACCGCAGTTCGTGTCCCGGACCTGGTGGCTTAAAACTCACTCTGGGCACGTGTGCGTGTGTGCCCAAGATCCTGAGAGGAGAATGGAGGAGAAGGGATTGCGGCATGGCCATCCCCCCTGGGGGGTGATTTCTCACTTTCTGTCTCCCTGTCTCTCTCTGTCTGTCTGGCGAGTGCACGCGCCCTATAGCAAAAACCTCTAAAAAAGGAAAAAAGAATAAGGGATTGTGGCGTGGCCATCCCCACTGGGAAGTGATTTCTCACTTTCTGTCTCTCTGGTGAGTATACGTGCCCTATAGCAAAAATCTCCCTCTAAAAAAGTAAGAAAAGAAAAGAAAAAAGAATGAATCTGGAAGAATTTCCTCCTCTTAAATTTTTTTGGGATAGTTTGAACAGAAAAAGTTTCAATCTTTTCCTAATTAATTCAAGTCACATTGATATTTCTTTCCTTTTCCTATTCCTATTGAATTTACTATTTATATCACCCATTTAACATTTTAGTGTATACTCAGGCAGTGTATTTACTCATAGTATGTGCACAATGAACCTTACTTACTGAATAACTGAAAAATCTTATTTTACAATTTTTTCAACTGCTTAAGTATTTTCATCCTGTCTGAATTATCACTTATATAATAAATAAGCTAATATTGATATCTGCTAATATCTACTAAGCAAATACTGATAGGCTACTCAAGATTGCTACAACTATTTTTTTTTTTGGTCCTAGGTATTGTTGAAGTTAATGGAGTCAGAAGGATCTCCAGAGTCAGAGAGTTCAGAAAGTTTCTCACAGCAAGAAGATGAAGAAGAAGCCCCAGAACTAGAGGAAACAGGCACTGTGAACCCTCTCTTACAACCTGCTCTCACAGGCGACGTAGAAGGTTTGCAGAAGATTTTTGAAGATCCTGAGAATCCTCACCATGAAGAGGCCATGCAGCTACTTTTGGAAGAAGACATCGTTGGGAGAAATTTGTTGTATGCAGCTTGCATGGCTGGGCAGAGTGATGTGATTAGAGCTCTGGCAAAATATGGTGTGAATCTGAATGAAAAGACCACCAGAGGTATTTTGTCTTTTTTCTCTCATTAGTATTATTGATACTTATGACTAACAATTAGGGTGGGTCAGGAATCAAAGTATAAAGATGTTATGTACTGTCTTTAAAAAAAAAAATTGCCTCGGGAACCAGCAGTTAGCGTAATGGCTATGTCGCTGGACTCCCATGTAGTCGACCACGGTTCGCGTCCCGGACCCAGTGGCTTAAAACTCACGCCGGGCGCGTGTGCGTGCGTGCCCAGGATCCCGAGAGGAGAATGGAGGAGAAGGGATTGCGGCGTGACCATCCCCCCTGGGGGGTGATTTCTCGCTTTCTGACTCTAATGTCTCTCTCTGTCTGTCTGGCAAGCGCACACGCCCTATAGTGAAAATCTCTCCAAAAAAAAATTGCCAGAGGGCTTATGTTCTTTCCAGTGAGAGAGAGAGAGAGACGGAGAGAGAGGGAGGGTGAATAAGTACCCACAATAGGGCACAGTCACACCTTAATTTGATTTTCATCCATTTCTCTATCCTGCGGGATGTTGGGCATACATACACACATTCCTGACATGTTTTCAAGCTGGGACTGGGATTCTAACTATGTGGTTGGCCATGTGGGTCTGGCTCCCATGACCACTAGGCCACAAGACCAGTCCTATCTTTTTATTTTTTTAAATTTATTTTTCTTTTTAATTCATTAAATTAAGCTTTGCTATAGGGCACATGTGTTCACCAGAGAGAAACAGGCTGGGGGAAGTGAGAAAAATCACCTCTGGGGGGGATGGCCACACTGCAATCTCTTTTCCTCCATTCTCCTCTTGGGATTTTGGGCATGTGTGCACATGTTCCTTGTGTGTTCTCAAGCCACTGGGTCCAGGACTTGAACTACTCAGTTGGCCATGTGCATCCGGCTGCCTTAGCTTCCATATCACCTCTTGGCCCCTCTTTTAATTGTTTTGAAATAACTTTTTTTTTTCTTAGCCAGAGGGTGTGTGCTCACCAGAGAGTGAGAGAGCAAGGGAGCAAGAGAAAGAAAAAAGTACCTCTCAATGGGGTGTAGTCAGGCCTCAATTCCTTTTTCCTTCACTTCTCCTTCCCATCAAGATTTTGGGCAAGTATGCACATATACCTGGCATATTTTTCAAGCCATCAGGACTAGATTCAAGCCAGTCAGCCATTTCTATGCACAGCACTACACCACTGTGCTATGGGGCCAGGCCAACTTTGTACTATCTTTTAGGTTGGATGTGCCAATGTGCCTGCTTTGTACTTTGCATATGCTCAGAATCTTCAGAAAGATCATGGGAAATGCATAGTATAAAAAAAAACCTGTGCCAGAGCTGGCAGGTGGCATGGTGGTTAAGGGCACTGTACTCCCACATAGCCGACTGCGGTTTTAGTCCCGGACCTGGTGGCTTGCTTTCTTGCTTTACCTCCTCTCTCTCTCTCTCACTCTGTCCCTTTCTGGTCAAATTAAAAATAAGTAAACAAATAAATAAAGCTAAATAATTCTTTTAAAAAATCTGTGCCAGGATTTTTTTTTTTTGCATTAAAATTAACTCCTATTTTAATTTTAAATTTTCATGAACTTTTTGAGGTATCTTCCTATGTGATGCCAGAGAATGTTGTTGATAATTCATCTAAAAAAAAAAAGTAAAAATAGATACCTACTTTTACTGTGCTCATAAGGAGACATATATATAAGGATGATTATTCAAGTATTGTTGATAAGAGTGAATATCTGTAAGTAAAATAAATCAATGGAAAGGTAGATAATTGCATTATGATCTTTGGGTATTAATATGAATAACATACATAACCTCAATACAAAAAGCAAGTTGCAAAAAGTTCTGTATTATATAGGGTAAGAGCATGGATTTCATGACAAGTCATGGTGGCTGCACTGGTAGATGCTGTTGATCTTCAGGCTGAGGTCACTTGAATGGCCCTGATTTGATTCCTAGCCCACTCTAAAATCTGAGTGTGGCCATACACCCCTGTAGTCTCACCTACTTGAGAGAGTGAAGCAGGAAATCATGAGACAGTGAGATCCTCATTTAGAAAATAAATAAATAAACAAAAGAACATGGATTTTTAGAACCAGACTATTGGGTTCAAAACCCAGGTCTTCTACTGAACTTATGTGACTTGGATAAATTATGTAACACTTCTGTGCTCTGGCTTCTCTACCTATAAAAATGAGGATAATAGTAATATGTAAAAACCATACTACCTAAAGGAAAGGAAGGCTCCAATCAATATTTAACAGTGTGCCTCTAACAGTAATCAAGGAAGGTGATGTTCTGACCAGTTGACATGAATATTGCTAGCCTTTAGGCTGTTACTGTGTAATATTCCATTGTATTAACAGATGATAGTGCATTTATCCATTCTGAGCCTATCCAGATGGCAAAGATATTAACGATTAATTATTAGTATTATTTTTTATAGTTAGAGTTTTACTATATTGCAATCCTCCCACCTCAGTCTCCTAAGTAGCTGGGATTATGGCTCAAGCCTTTGTGCTGAGCATATTACAGTGGGTCAGGAATCAAACTCAGACCTCCATGTGGCCTCAGTTTGCTGAGTAGCAGTGTCTATTGTGACTTGGCCTGATTATCCATTCTAAGCCTATCCAAATGGCAAAGACCTTAAAATGAAGAGATTCACCATCAGAAAAGCATGCTCTAGAGAAACAAAACACTGTGACTTGGGCATTGCCAACTTGGACAGTGTTTCTGAACGAAACAGAGTACAAAGCAAAGGAAGCCTGTTGGACCTTCAATATTCTACTGCCAGGAAGCCAATAAATTATTTAGCTGCAAATATATGCTACCTTTAATGATAAAGGAAAGACAGATCGCAGGGCTGAGAGCCAGAGGGCAGAGCTGAGAACTATAGCTATGTAACTACATTATTCCAACCTTGAAACCTAAAGTTTACCTAGCTGGATTGTACTAGAAGTACCTAGTACTTCTTTGGACTAGCTATTTTGCCTTTGGTTTTTCCATTTGAATCTGGATGTCTATCTCTGTCATCCTATGCCTAATCCACTACCTTGGGTTGGAAGGAGAAAACGTGTTTCTTAGTTTCACATGTCCACAGATGGAGAGGACTTGAGCCCTAGTAACTGCATTTAATGGATTATACTCAGAGCCTCATCCTCACATGATCTTGATGATTTCAATGATGAGAGCTGGGACTGTTGAGCTGATAGATTTAAATGAGATTTTGGACTTAGTGTTGATACTGTAATAGGCTAGGACCTTTGGGACTATGCGATGGGGCAAATGTATTTTGCATTTGGGGGAGATGTGAATGTTTAATGGGTTAGTGGGTAGACTCTAGCAGGAATAGCTCCCCAAAGATACCTATGCTCTAATTCCTAGAACCTGTGAATGTGAAAGGGGCTTTGCAGATGTAATTAAGATTAAGGAACTTGGGCTGACCCTGTAGCACAACGGTTCAATGCTGTACTTGGGAGCCAGATTCCACAAAGCCTACTGCAGTTCAAGTCCCATCCCCAGAAGTTTGAGAAACATGTTGGGTGCATGTGTGTGAGTGTCCAAAATCCAGATGGAAGGGATGAGTGGAAGGAAACGGAGTATGGCATGGCCATGCCCCATCATGCCGTATTTTCTCTCTCATTTGCTCTCTCTAGTGAGTGTACATGCCCTTGGCAACAATAACAAAAGATTTGAGGACCTTAAGATAGATTATCCTGGATTGTCCAAGTAGGCCCAATCTAATCACACAAACCCTTAAAAGCAGAGCCTTTCTCCAACTGGAGTTCGAAGAGACACAACAGATGAGGTCTGAAGTATAAGTACTTGAGATGTGGTTGCTGGTTTGAAGATGGAGGGGATAGTGTAATTAGGAATGCAGGCAGCCTTAAGGAGCTGCAAGGAACTCCTGCTGACAGTCAGCAAGCTAGATCTAGACTCCAAAACTTTGAGAAATAAATTTCTGTCTTTGTTAAAGTTACTCAGTCTATGGTATTCTCTGTATGTATAGTGTCACAAAATGAACTAAGACAGTAAACAATAAAGGCACAATAAAATTCTTGGACCATTCTCAGTGTTTTGAAATTTCTTGCTTGCTGTGATAAAAAAAAAAAAGTTTGGCCAAAAAGAGAGGGATTCCAATTTTTTTTTTAAGAATTATTTTCTTTAACTTTATTTATTTAAATTAGACCAGAGAGGGACAGAGTAAGAGTGAGAGAGAGAGATAGAGAGGAGAGAAAGTGAGAAAGCAAGCTGCCAGGCCTGGGATTCAAAGCATGCTCAGCCAAGTGGGAGTCCAGCACTCTTAACCACCACACTTCCTGCTGGTCCAGCAATTCCATTTTGACTGAACCTAAAATAGTTCACTTCATGCTCCTTTTGGGTCCTCATTAACTTTTTATTAGCCCTTTTGTTTATGATAGTTCACAACTTGGTCTGAGATAATCCCAGGATTGTGGGAGTGTGGCAGATGGGAGCTAAAGCATTTCTGAAAGAAACTAGAATTAATCGCTCACTCTCCTCTTCCCCTATCCTAGGCAGAGGCAAACTTTTGGGTGCTACTTCCTGCTCCTTGTATGCCTTCTATCTGGCAACAGACTTAGATATGAAATTTTCTTTGGCTACTTACTACCAGTCTGGCCTTGTGAAAAACATAATCTCTCCTACCTTCACTTTCCATTGTATATTTTAATAGGGCTAATAATACCTACCTCACATTATTGAGAGGATTAAAAGACGTACACATAAAGTGCTTAATACTCAATATATTCAACATATTAGTTCATTCTCTTGCTCAACTCTTCTTTTAGTAATATAGTATATATCTCTTTCACTAGTTAAGAGCGTCATAAATATATCCTTATAGATAAAACAATGATCTTTAGCTTGATTTAAGAAAAATAAAATCTGTCGGGCCAGTCCCATAGCCTAGCGGTTAAGGGAACCTGATCCCACATAATTTTCTGTGGTTAAAATTCTGGCCCCAGTGGCATGGAAAAAACACTGAGTGCATGTGTGAGCATGTCCCAAATCACACTAGAATGGAGAAATGGAGAAGGAGGGATTGTGGCATGACCACATTCCACTGGAGGATGCTTCCCTTCACCCATATCTCTAGCACATTTGCCCTCTGGCAATTAAAAAAAAAACAGTCTGAAAAGATGCTGCCCATATTTTTCATGATTACAATGATTTTTCACAGTAGTTGTCTCAGTAAATCTAAGAAATTGCTTTCTATTAATAATTTGATAGGTCATAATTTCAACTTTAATCCAAATGATTGATTTCCAAACCAAGGGCATGTACAGTTGTAGTCATTTGTATGATTTTTATAAACCAGAATAATTAGAGTTGGATGAAAATACCTTAAAGTCATAGAATTGCTTATTTTCTAGAATAAATGGATGATCTAATGCCCTTTGGGCAGGCCTCTTAATTTCCCTGGACTTTCGATTCTTTATCTTAAAATGAGATTATACTAGTTCTGTCATTATGGAGTTTTTATAGAACTAAATGAACTTGCTGTATGTAAAGCACTTAGAATAGTGCTTCGCCCATAGTAATTATTCAATATTTGATTGAAATTATGACCTGTATAAAGTATAGCTTGAAACAATGTAGTCTATAGGGCCAGCACATGGCACAGTGTTAAGGCACTGGACTCCCACATGGCCAACCATGGTTCAAGTCCTGGATCTGGCAGTCCAGGAGCATGTGCATACATGCTCAAAATCCCAACAGGGGAATGGAGGAAAAGGGACTGCAGTGTAGCCATCCCCTCTTGGGAGTGATTTCTCACTTTTTGTCTGACCATCTGTCTCTCCAGTGAGCACATGTCCCCTATGGAAAAAACCCTTAAGAAAATAAAAGAGTAGTCTATTTGACCTATCTTTGTTCTATTAATAGGCTACACGCTCTTACACTGTGCTGCAGCTTGGGGTCGTTTGGAAACTTTGAAAGCACTAGTGGAGCTGGATGTTGACATAGGAGCATTGAACTTCCGTGAAGAAAAAGCTCGAGATGTTGCTGCTAGATATTCCCAGACTGAGTGTGTTGAATTCCTTGACTGGGCAGGTAAGGAATCTCACAGGTATTAACAAAACAATTGAGTGATAAATTTTTCTCCTAGGAATTCTAGGTTATGTCTTTAACAAAACAAAGAGATGATTAACATTTTTCCCCTCCATCAAGATGCTTTATTTGTAGATACAACTGCAGTCATTGTGGACAACAATATATGAAACCTGCCCTTTTTTTCCAATTGGCTGTTGGCCTAAACAGTACACTTAATAAGAACTGTACATATTGAAAGCTTACTGATTTATCGACTTTTAACAATTTCATCAATAATTTTCTATAACATATATGTTCAAGGCTATTTTCTGAGAGACCCACAGAAAGTAAACCATTCCTTAAATGTTTTAAAAATAGCATATTTGAGTAATACATTTGGCTTCCCAGATAGAAAATGTCATAATGTAAAATTCAATATGATTTGTTTAGGTAAAGTTAAAGTAGTTAGAAGAGTAGTTATGCTTTGGCACTGGAGGTGGGGGACTTCGGGGCTGTAATATTCTTTTTCTTAATCTGGTTTCTGGTTAAATGGGTATGTTCATTTGTGAAAATTCATCCTGCTGTACACTTAGAATTTTTGGTATGTATGTTAAGTTTAAACACAAAGTTCAAAGAACTATGTGCTGGGGCCAGCAAATAGTATAGTGGTTAAGGTGCTGGACCGCCATATGGCTGTCCATGCTTCAAGTCCTGGACCTGGTGGCTTGAAAATCATGCTAGGCATGTGTGTGTGTACATGCCTAAAATCCCAGGAGGAGAAGGGATTGTGGTGTTGTCTCCCTGGGTTTGTGATTGCTCACCTTCTCTCTCACAGTTTTTCTCTCTGTCTCTCTCTGGTGAGCACATATGCCATATAGCAAAAACCTTAAAACAAAACGAAACTATGTACTATTTTGAGTTATGTTAATATTTTGCTATGTCATCCCCAGATCCTTGTAGAGTATAGCTTAGAGATTTCAGGAAGACATGCCTATGTAACTATGTATACATACAGACATTGGTTAAAAACTAGTACTGATGAAGCTCATTGCATTCATTTTGCATAGCTATGTACATTCATATTTTCAGCAGGCATTTATTTAAATGCCCACAATCAGCCTACTATTATTGTAGGTAGCTTGCTATGCCTGCCTTAGGAACATGTCTGGTGGGAGATGATAAACTATAGAAACATTCTACAATTATGTAACAATATCTAGACTATGCTTGAGGGTTAAGATGGACAGATCAGGCAGTTCACACTATGGGGTAGTCAAGGAACATGAAGTCAGAGCATGCTAGGTTTGAACTGGGCCTTGAAGAATGGATGGGATTTGGGACCAGTAATGACTATGTCGCTGAACTCCCATGTAGTCGACCACAGTTCGAGTTCCTGGAGCTGGTGGCTTAAACTCACACCGGGCGCGTGTGTGTGCGTGCCCAAGATCCTGAGAGGAGAATGAAGAAGGGATTGCGACATGGCCATCCCCCCTGGGGGGGTGATTTCTCGCTTTCTATCTCTCTGTCTCTTGCTGTCTGCCTGGCGAGCGCATGTGCCCTATAGCAAAAACCTCTCCAAAAAAAAAGAAAAAAGAAAAACCTCAGAGTTTAGACTGAAAGTGACATATTGGGGGACAGCAATCTACCCTACTAGAGTGAGTTATTTCCACAGGTAAGCTACAGCATAGAAGGAATAATGGAAGAGTTAAGTACATGGCCTCTTGAGATTCCTTGAATCTAAAGACTGGTGTCTGTACTTGAATCCTATGTGATCTTCGACAAAGTACTTAAGTTGTCTGTACCCTAGTTTCCTTTTCTGAAAAAGAGGGCCACTTTAAAGATTGTGAGAATTAAACGAGATAATATAAAGTAGCATAATACTTGGCATGTCGTCAGCAGTGGATGCTACTGTTACACAGGCATATTATAGCTTATCTGCCTGGCTAAGGTGTTTTCATTTTATTCAGTAAGCACCTGGAAGGTTTCATATAGACAAGAAAGAGCGTGAAAGTGATATTTAGGAAGATTCGGCTGGTAGCAATAAGGAGCTTGCTCATCAGTAAAGTGAGGAGAATTGATAGAAGTAAGGAAATTGAGGGAAAGACACATACTTGGGGGGGAAAAAAAGATGAGTTGTACTTTGTAGATTGTTTTTATAGGCAACTGCCAACTTCTATGAACTGTTTTTCTAGAGACTGTCTTTCTTACATTAGTATCTTAAATTTTAGTTTTATAAGCAGGAAATAAAAACAGAAATAAGAGTTCAATTAATACTCCATGAGTAGTAATTGTAGTAGAACACACATCCCATAATTTAAAATCCATTTCTGAAGGATGAATGACCCATGTACTTAAAAAATCATGGTCCAGGGACAACTTTTGCTGTAACTTTTCTGAAACAAAACTGTTTGTGGCTTATGGGCATGAGATATCATTAATTTCTTCCACTATAGATTCACTTAATTCAAGTCTTTATGTTTTTTTTTTTTATTTTTTAAAAATTTATTTATTGGAGACCAGGAGATGGCATAATAATTATGTCGTTGGACTGCCACATGGCTGACCATGGTTTGAGTTCTGGATACAGCAGCTTGAAATTAACACTGGGCTTGTGTGCATGTGCATGAGTGCCCAAAATCCCAAGGAAAATGGAGAAGGGACTGTGGCATGGCCATCACCCCTGGGGGATGATTTCTTGCTTTCTGTCTCTCTCTCCAGCGAGTGCATGTGTCCAGTAGCAAAAATCTCTCTCTCTAAAAAAAAATTATCTATTTATTTATTTGTTGTGATTTTGAAGCTGCTGGGTCTGGGACTCAAAATTTGGTTGGCCATGTGGGAGTCCAGCATGAAAACCCACCATGCCACCTTTTGGCCCCAATGTTAATGGAATTATGCCTAACATCTTAGTGATGAAGAGACTATAAAAAATAAACTATTAATGATGAAAAGACTATAGGGACCAGCAGTTGGTGTAACAATGAAAAGACTACAAAAAGTAAACTATAAATAGTATGTTTCTAAATCAGTGTTGGATTTAAGATGGGAGCTTCATGGTAATCTAATTGTGAAATTTCAGAAACAAACTACTCAACATAAAATTTCAAATTTTTTTAATTCACATTTACTAAGAGTATGTATCACTTTTCATTTCTTCTAGTAATTAAGAGTCACCTGGAGAGATTTAAGGGACTGAGCACTCCCTATTCCATTGAGTCTCCTATCTATTGTTGAAAATTCCACTATTAGAAATACATTTCTCTAAGGTTTTAGAGGTGTGGTGTAGGTTTGTTTATCTATGTCTGTCTGTCTGTCTGTCTGTCTGTCTTCAAGAGTCTCCTATTAGAAGAAACATGTCAGTGTTGGGAGTTCTTGGCAGTTCAGAATGCTGAAGGAATGGAACAAACATTTATGGAAATGTGGGAGAGGGAGTTGTGCTATGGAAGACTGGAGGTAAGAAGGAGAGTCTGGAAAGCAGAACCAAAAACAAACTTAAAAGTGTATTCTTTAAAAACTGTAATTTTCTCTTACCATTTCAAGGATTTTTTTGGGAAGTTTTACTTATATTTATGGGAAAGTTGTGTTATAGGTATGGCTTATTTTTCTGGGATTTTTCAATATATTTTAAAAATAATTTTATTTAACTTTATTTATTTATTTATATACTTAGTAACTTACCAGATAGGGACAGAGTGAGGGAGAGTAAGAGAGAGAGAAGGAAAGTGAGAAAGCAAGCTGCCGGGTTTGGGACCCAAATCACAGTCGGCCAGTAGGAGTCCAGCATCTTTAACCACCACACCACCTGTCTGCCCCTCAAGGTGTTTTTAATTAAGTCTGCCCTAGTCTCAGATTGGAGCTTCTAGTTTTTCTCAGGAAAATATAACTATACTTTAAAAACAAAGATTTAAAGAATTACTGACTTAATTTTACTTATTATTATTATTATTATTATTATTCAATTTGACTAGAGAGAGAGAGAGAGACAGAGACAGAAACAGAAAGCAAGCTGCCAGGTCCAGGACTTGAACCATGGTCAGCCATGTGGGAGCCCAGCACCTTAATCACCATGCCATCAGCTGGCCCCATACCTGTACTTTTTTATTTTTCTTAAATTGAAGTGTCTTATCAACAAAAGTCTTAACTTTAAAAAATGTTGATATGTAATTTATTACACTGAAAATAGGAAAATTTATATTTTTAAAAATTAATAAATTCCTTAATATTTCCATGCTATTTTAGCAGTCTGAGATGGGAAAATATGTCTCCCTGTGACCATAAAATTTTCTTAAGAAAATGAGAAAAACAACAAATGTTATTTAAATCAGAGATTTATTGAAACAGTAAACTAAATTCTATTCTACAGATTGGCTAATAATTAGTAATCTAACACATTAAAGATATTGGGTCATCAGAAAAGTCATGACTTTTTTTTGTTTTTCTAGGCAAAATGTGTCATGACTTTTCTGATGATCCAATAACAAAAAACTTAAAACATCTAGCAGTGATGATATACAATCTTTTCCCCAGTACTTTAGTAAGTATGGGTTCTTTTTCAGTTGAATGGAAATAACATTTCAACTCAAAGTTCTTTGGAAAATTTCCAGAACAATTGTGGCAAAAAAATGACAAAGCCTCCCAAGGAATAATTTTTATCCCTAATCCTCTCAATATATTTCTTTGGTAATCTCCGTATTCGACTGGATTATATTTGCATATGTTTAGTATCCTCTGGTTCCTCCTCTTCCTTCACTCTTCTTCCTCTTTAATTTTTTATACTTCATTTTCTTAGAGGAAGGATGGTGTGATACCAGCTTCAGATACTTGGTCATCATCGATGTTGTGGCCACCAATTTACAGAGTATTTGGTCAATGTCATAGATGGATGGACTTTCTAAATCATTATCAAATTTGTTTAAGGAGGCTTGTTCTTTCAGCTAAAAGGAGAAAGACAAATAAAAGAGATTTCATCTCACTATAGTTTAAATAAATTTCTATTCTGAATATATAAACTTAAACTTTATTTAAACAGCACACATTGGACCAAGTACACATTGGTACTTAGTTTTCATAAATATATCTGGAAGGGACCTAAGAGAGCTCTTGTTCCTTTAGTTTGTGGATGAAGAAGCTGAGAAAGATCAGATGGCTTACCTAAGGGTACAGACAGATAACTTCATTTCATGCACTCTACTGGTGGTATATGATTAAGGTGCTGGATTTTCACGTGGCAAGCCGTGGTTCAATTACTAGAACCTGCTACTTGAAAATCACACTGAGCGTGTGTATCCAAAACCCTAAGAGGACAATGGAGGAGAAGGGATTGTGGAGTGGCCATCTCCTGTGGGGGTGATTTCTCATTGTCCCTCTCTCTGTGTCTTTCTGATGAGCGCATGCACTCTATAACAAAAACTAAAACTAAAAAAAAAACAAAAGCATGTATTAATCATGCAAAAGAAAGATTACTATAGAAGACAGGCATAACTGAAGGGTGTAAGTGCAGAAGAAATGCTCTTCTGGGAAACCAGCAATTAGCGTAATGGCTATGTCGCTGGACTCCCACGTAGTCGTCCGCGGTTCACGTCCTGGACCCGGTGGCTTAAAACTCACGCCGGGCGCTTGTGTGTGCATGCCCAAGATCCCGAGAGGAGAATGGAGAAGAAGGGATTGCGGCGTGACCATCCCCCCTGGGGGGTGATTTCTCACTTTCTGTCTCTATGTCTCTCTCTGTCTGTCTGGCGAGTGCATGCGCCCTATAGTGAAAAACCTCTCCAAAAAAAAAAAAAATGCTCTTCTGTATAGAGTGATCATTATCACCATCAGCATGGGTAATGATGGGCTTTCTAATGTTAGACCATGCTGCTGGGAGAAATATTTTGGATATTAACAAAATGTTTTCCTTTACTGAACAACCTCAAGGTGTAATACCATAAAATCAGTCATTTTAAAAATAAGAAAACAGGGAACAGCAGATGGCGTAATGGTTATGTCACTGGACTCCCACGTAGTTGACCATGGTTCAAGTCCTGGACCCAGTGGCTTAAAACTCATGCCAAGCATGTGTGTGCCCCAGATCCCAAGAGAAGGAATTTTGGTGTGGCCATCCCCCTGGGGGGTGATTTCTTGCTTTCTGTCTCTCTGTTTCTCTGTTTCTCTGGTGAGTGCACACATCCTGTAGCAAAAACTTCTCTCTAAAAAAAGCAAAAAAAGAAAACATTTATACATATCTAATTTTTCTGAAGGTCAGAGAGGTTTTTGTTGTTGTTGTTGTTGTTGTTTTTTTCCTTTTGTTTTGGCTTGGTCAGTGAAATTTTAAGATGACTTCAAACTATCGTGCCATTTATTGGCTAAGTGGAAAATTAGTTTAGAGCTTCATTTCCCAAAAAGTTATCCTAACATTACAGATTAATTTATATCCACTTAAAAGACACATGCCAACTTTGGTACTTAGTTTCACAAATATATCTGGAAGGGACCTAAGAGAGCTCTTGTTCCTTTAGTTTGAGGATGAAGAAGCTGAGAAAGATCAGATGATTTATCTAAGGGTACAGACAGATAACTTCATTTCATGGATTCTACTTATTATAACTCATTATTTTTTGATGGTTTTATAACTTGACAGTTCAACAGATGTTGAACTGAATAATTTTTTTTTTTTGAGAGGTTTTTCGCTATAGGGTGCATGCACTCGCCAGACAGAGAGTGACATAGAGACAGAAAGCGGGGTCGGGGACGTAAACCGCGGTCTACTACATGGGAGTCCAGCGACATAGCCATTACGCTAACTGCTGGTCCCGAACTGAGTAATTTTTTAAAGAACTATTTTATTTAACTTTATTTATTTATTTATTTATTTATTTATTTATTTATTTATTTATTTATTTTAATTTGACCAGGGAGGGGAGAGAGAGAGACAGAAAGAGAGAGCGAGTGAGCACAAGCTGTCAGGTTCAGGACTTGAACCATGTTTGGCCATGTGGAAGTCCAGCATTCTTAACCACCACACCACCTGACATCCCCAAAGCTGAATGATTTTAAGGCCCTTCTAATTCAATACACATTGGTTGAGCACATAATATGTGCAAGACCTTTACTAGATGAATTGGGGAGGTTATGGGGAGGTTTCAGAGAGGAATAAGAGATAATACCTTCCCTCAAAGAAACTGACAATTTTCTAAATTCTTTGATATTCTATAACTATTCATATATATGACTAATTCACCTTCTTTTTATGTTTCTTCCACTTTGTCCACAGGTAATGCACAGATAAAACAGATAGGATCAAAAAGAGAGCTTGTACTAAAATATAAGTGAGATGCAAACAACCCTGAAATATGTCCATGTTAGCAAAGTTGCAGCATAGTTTGTCCAGAGGATACGGTAGACAGTGAGATGAAGAAGGCTTAGCTTTCAGGTAGTTTACTTCTTCTGGAAAAATCTCCCATCCAACTTTGGTCCAGATAGTTCCATCACAAATGCAGAAACTCTCCCTGAAGAAGCAGATAAATAACAGAGGAAAGAGCAGAGATAGTCCTAGAGTGGACATTTTTCTTTCTCAACTGGAAAAAAATATATCACTAAGAAATTGGTTAGAGGCACAGCAGAAAATACTCTAAATGTTAGTTAATAGGATATTTTGTCAAGGTAGTTCAGAATATCCTGCCAGTCAGCAAAATATATTCTGCTGATCATTGTAGCATCATTAGTCATTGTGATTCAGGGGTAAGGCCAGTGACATCACAAAGAATCACATTGGAAGTAAAAGGTGTCATCTAACCAATCATCTTGGGTTACTTAGAGACTCTTTTGGATGCTTTTTGCCAGAATGGTTTGAGCTTCCATTTTCTTAAAAATTAAGACTATACTAATATCGTACTAGCAAATAAATTCAAACTGTAGTCACATAATAAAATCTCATGGAAATGATTTACTCGTAATCTTTCCAACCTTTCTTCTAAAGTATGGCAGTTTATATTTACTTAAAAAACAGCTATACCATTTCACACAACCTAGCATGTGCTTCTCTAACTCTGGAATGTTTTTCCCTTCAACAAATACTGAGCATCTGTCCCTTTTGACACATTTTCTTGTGGTGGCAGTGTGGTGCTATTAGGTAAAGAGTGAGGAAAGAAAAGTGGCATGGCATATGAAAAAAGATAAGATGGTGAAGTGGGGGTCAGCAGGTGGTGTGGTGGTTAAGGGGCTGAACTTCCACGTGGCCAACTATGATTTGCATCCCAGACTTGGTGGTTTGCTTTCTCACTTTTCCTCCTTCTTTTCTCTTTCTCTTTCCTTTTCCTTTCCCTTTTCCTTTTCCCTTTCCCTTTCTCTTGCTCTCTGTCGCTCTGTTCAAATTAAAAAATAATAATAATAAGGGGCCAGCAGGTGGCATGGTGGTTGAGGCACTGGACTCCTACATGGCCAATCGTGGTTCAAGTTTCAGACCTAGTGTCTTGCTTTCTCACTCTCTCTCTCTTTTTCTCTCTCTCTGGTGGGCACATGTGCCCTATAGCAAATTAAAATAATAATAATAAATAATATTAAGTAAATAATTCTTTTTAAAAAGTGGTAATGTGATGACGTATATGATAGAAAGATGAGATATAGACCTTGTTTTTAAGGAACTTATAATCTGAAGCAAAAGTAAAAACCAAGATAATAAAAATTAAAGTCAGAGTAAAAGGAAAACTAAGTAAAATTATCAACATGTAACAGTTGAAAGAGCAATGAGTCCTACTTGGAGGAACTAGGAAGTTTTACGGAAGTGTCTTTGAGTGGACCTTAAAGAATGCATAGATGTTTGGTAGGGTAAATGTGGAGAGGGCATTTCAGGCTGAGGGAACATATTAAGTAAAGACATCCATGTAAATAGTCATACAATACATGTTTAAAGTGCCTACTATGAGCTATATACTATGCTGAGTATACTTGTACAACTCAGCTTTGCAGACCTATCTAAGCCTATATGTCTGTATCTAAGGAGTGCTGAGTAGGAAAATAGAGTGGTAGGGATAAGGCTTCTTTAATGAGTTTTTAAATTAAAAAAATGTTTTTTTATGTAGAGAATTGTTTATTTGGGGGCTGGCAGGTGGTATAGTGGTTAAGGCATTGGACTTCCACATGACCCACCACAGTTTGAATCCCAGACCTGGTGATTTGCCTTCTCACTTTCTCTCTTTCTCTTTCTCTTTCTCTGGTGAGCATATGTGCCCTATAGCAAATTTTAAAATAATAATAATAATAAACTAAAATAAATCTTTTTTTTTTGAGAGGTTTTTCACTATAGGGCGCGTGCGCTCGCCAGACAGACAGAGAGAGACATAGAGACAGAAAGCGAGAAATCACCCCCCAGGGGGGATGGTCACGCCGCAATCCCTTCTCCTCCATTCTCCTCTCGGGATCTTGGGCACGCACGCACACATGCCCGGCGTGAGTTTTAAGTCACCGGGTCCGGGACGTGAACCGCAGTCGACTACATGGGAGTCCAGCGACATTGCCATTACACTAACTGCTGGTTCCCAGTAAATATATTTTTAAGAGAAAGAGATTTTTGCTATAGGGCATGTGTGCTTTCCAGAGAGACAGAGAGTGAAAAAAATCACCCCAGGGGGTATGGCCATGCCACAATCCTTCCTCCATTTTCCTCTCGGGATTTTGGGCATGAACGCACACACACCTCATGTGAGTTTCAAGCTGCTGGGTCTGGGATGTGAACCATAGCCAAATGGGCATGTGTGCTTTCCAGAGAGACAGAGAGTGAAAAAAATCACCCCAGGGGGTATGGCCATGCCACAATCCTTCCTCCATTTTCCTCTCGGGATTTTGGGCATGAACGCACACACACCTCATGTGAGTTTCAAGCTGCTGTGTCTGGGATGTGAACCATAGCCAAACATATGGGAGTCCTGTATCTTAACCACTGCACCACCTGTTGGCCCCCAAATAAATAATTCTTTAAGAAAAACACCTCATTAAAGAAGCCTCTCCTAATTTTTCTCTATAAAATGACACATACACTAACTCATTAACTTGCTGCAAATTTCCTATCTCCTTACCACTCTGTTTACCACTGTTTCACTTGTTGGCCCAGATAAGGTGATTTTTTTTTTTTTTGAGAGGTTTTTGCTATAGGGCTTGTGTGCTTGCCAGAAAGACAGAGAGAGACAGAGAGACAGAATGCAAAATATCACCCCCAGGGGGGATGGCCACGCTGCAGTCCCTTCTCATCCATTCTCTTCTTGGGATCTTGGGCACACAAGCATATGCACCTGGCATGAGTTTAAGCCACCAGGTCTGGGACTTGAACCGCGGTCGACTACATGGGAGTCCAGCGACATAGCCATTACACCAACTGCTGGTCCCCAGATGAGGTGATTTTTTAGGTGATTTTTGAGCAAAGATCTGAAGGAACTAAAAGTAGGAAACCAAGAAGGTTCATTCTGAATGAATATTGTGGGTGGATGGAACTAGAAAGATAGTTTGTGGCTAGACAAATTTTAGAGGGACACACACACACACACATACACACACACACACACACACACACACACACATATATATTGTTGTTTTTAGAAAGATTTTTGCTTTAGGGATGTGTGCTCCCTGGAGAGACAGAGACAGAAAGTGAGAAATTGTCACTGGGGGGATGGCCTTGCCACAGTCCCTTCTCCTTGGGATCTTGGACACACATTTACATGTGCCCAGTGTGAGTTTCAAGTTGCCGGGTCTAAGACTCGAACCATGATCGGCCATGTGGGAGTCCAGCAACTTAAAACTATGCTATCTGCTGGTCCCAAGGGGGCCCTGTATTATTTTTTTCAGTAGGCAAGTAGGGAGTCATTTATAGAGTTTTGAGAAGAAGAGAGATATAATAATAAACGTATTGGGTGCTTTACTGTGTGTCAGGCACTGCGCCAAGTTACGTGCATGTCTTTTGCTATGTGCATTATACTTTACATACTATACATCACATTATACTATGCATTATAGCATATACTGTAATTCTCACAACAACCCTAAGAGGACTGTACTGTAACACTTCCATTTTATAGATAGGAAACTGAGGTTAGAGTGATTGAGGTTATGGTGGCTTTAAGGGATGCTCTTCTCTACCAAGACACTCAAAATAAATGCGTGCTCTCAGTGAAAGCAGTGTGCTTGTTATACACATGCAGTTTCATGACAAGTTCCTTACTCCGCTTTTCTGACTGATGTCTCCCCTAAACTCCATTCTGTATTGAAATTCTGGAATTATCACGAACTTCAGGTCACCCAACCAGTGGAACCAAAACCTAACCTTGGTTTCTGGTATAAAAAAATTAATTCTGTTTGTAGCATGAATGATAGGCTTGAAGCTGTGAAGAGATGAAGGCAAGGAGACTCTTAGCTAGTCCATAATTATTAATGCTATTCCAGAGAGGGTATGACTGTAGAAGTTCCTCTTGTTACATCCATTTTATAGGTAGGTGAATGAGGCTTAAGAGATTGTTAGGGGTTCCATTTGCTCTTCAAAAATTTGAGCACAACTCTAGTAACATAATGATTACCCCAGAGTGATCTGCTAGTTGAGTGTTACCTTTCTGAAATTCTGGGAAAACACCTACAGTAAATCTCCCACATACAGCCTTTGTAAAGCGCTGACTGTGTAATAGTATATCACGTATGGTTTGATCTTTGTCTTACTGTGTGTTTAATATCCTGCTCTTTCAGATGCAAGGCTGGCTCTGAAAAAATATATTGCAAAGGTCTCTGTAACCGTTACTGACTCAGAAAAGGGACCAGGGAAGCTCCTTAAGGAAGACAGGGTAATGTATTGTGATTATTACTCTTCTGAAATCTTTTGAGCACTTCGTCTTACGTCTTATTTCTATACTAATGCTCTAGAGGTAAGCAGCGGTCCTTATTGTCCCTTTTCTTTTCCCCTCTCTTGCTTTCTTCTTCCTTCCTTCCTTTCTTTCTTCTTCTTCTTTTTTTTTCTGATAGAGTATATGCACATGTGAGAGAAAGAAAGAGTGAGAGAGAGAGAGAGAAAGAAGCATCCTCCATGGGGTCCCATAGTCCTCTTCCTTCAGTCCTCCATCCTTTAAGATCCTGGGCACACACAGGCGTGTTCACACAGTAGTACATTACTGCTGTGCCAGGGAGCAGAACTCTCCCTCTGCTCTTTTTCTTCCCTTTCTTCCCTCTTTTCTTTCTTTCTTTTTTAAAAATAAACTGATAAAGAAGATTGATCAAATTAAATAAAATATTGGGTTGTTCATGATCCATTTTAAAAAATTTATTTATTATCATCATAATCTTGTTTATATTACATTGGATTGCATATAACTTTACAGTGTATTACATTGCTTTTTCAAAAGGGAATGCCATGCATGTCAGTCAGTACAGAGACATTAATCTCCCCACTTCATCATTATATATCTTTTCATTGTTTTTTGCAATCATTGTTATTATTCCAATTATTTTTTTAAACAGTCAATCACTATTTCTCATTTTGCTTGTAAAAAGACTTTGCCCATTATGAAATACTTCTCAGACCAATCCGGTTGAGAATACTGTACATGCCATCACCAACAGGTAATAAGCCATATCTGTTTCCCACTTTGACATTGAAAAACAAAAATATGTCATGATTTTTCCAATAACCCAATAGTATTTTTTGGGGGGCGGGGGAGAGATTTTTGCTATAAGGTGCGTGTGCTCACCAGGCAGACAGAGAGAGACATAGAGACAGAAAGCGAGAAATCACCCCCCAAGGGGGATGGTCACGCCGCAATCCCTTCTCCTCCATTCTCCTCTCGGGATCTTGGGCACGCACGCACACGCACCCGGCATGAGTTTTAAGCCACCAGGTCCAGGACGTGAACCACGGTCAACTACGTGGGAGTCCAGCGACATAGCCATTACGCTAACTGCTGGTTCCCACCCAATAGTATTTAAGAGCAGCACAGCAGTGTCTTAAGGATCATAACCCAAAACCATGGATGATTCTTAGGAAAATAGTGTTCAGTGAAAAAAATATTGCTAAAGATGACATCAAATTTTTCGTTGTTGTTGTTAGAGGTTTTTGTTATAGGGCATGTGCACTCACTGGAGATAGAGACAGAAAGTGAGAAATCACCCCCCAGAGAGATGGGCATGATACAATCCTTTCTCCTCCATTTTCCTTTGGGGATTTTGGGCATGTACACACATGGCCCATTGTGAGTTTCAAACCACTGGGTCTGGGACTCACATAGCAGTCGACCAGCTGGGAGTCCAGTGCCTTAACCACTACATCACCTGCTGGCCCCAACATCAATTTTTATGAAGTTCAAAATGATGCTAATCAAATTCTAATGTTTAGGCCTGCCTACATTCAGGGAAAAATCATTATTAATAAAAAAAGCAAAGGAAAGGGATAAATAAGTACAGATCATGGTTATCTCTTGGAGACAGGCAAAGGGGGTGGGATGGTGATATTAATAGTACTGGCAGTGAAGGACCAGCAGATGGCATAATGGTTACATTGCTGGACTCCCATGTAGTCAACCGTGGTTCAGGTCCCGGACTTGGCAGCTTAAAACTCACACTGGGCGCATGTGTGTGTGTGCCTATAATTCTGAGAGGAGAGTGGAGGAGAAGGGATTGCAGCGTGGCCATCCTCCCTGGGGTTGATTTCTTGCTTTCTGTCTCTCTGGTGAATGCATGTGCCCTATAAAATCTCTCTCTAAAAAAAATAGTACTGGTAGTGTCCTGATTGTTCTGTTGAATAATGGGGCCCATTGATAATTATTTTATTATTTTGCTTCAAAACTTAGATATACATTACATAATTTAGTGTATATATATATGTGTGTGTATGTATACATATATATGAATGTAGATACACATAACATAGTTTTTTATTAATGCATTAAACTTTATTTATTTATTTATTTATTTTTACATTTTCCACAAACAATGCATTAAATTTTTGTAATGAGTAAAGATGTAAAGCCTGCTAGTTGTAAAGCCTGGTTGCCACATTGACAGTATTTAAGTACTGCCTATGGACTAGTTTAATTAAGAAAATATGCTCAAGGTATCAGAAATATGTTTTAGTTTTAAATTATTTTATGCATTTTGGTGAAGGACGCTCTGTGAATTTCCTGTGACTTACATGAACAATAATTAGCTGTTACTTAAAGTCAGCAGGTAGTGTGGATGTTAAAGTGACTGCACCCCACATGGCTAACTGTGCAGTTGAAGTCCCAGACCTGGAGGCTTGAAAAACACACCAGGCACATACATGTGTTCAAAAAGTACTAAGAGGAGGGAACCAGCAGTTAGCGTAATGGCTATGTCGCTGGACTCCCACATAGTTGACCGCGGTTCGCATCCTGGACCCGGTAGCTTAAAACCCACGCCGGGCTCGTGTGCGTGCGTACCCAAGATCCCGAGAGGAGAATGGAGGAGAAGGGATTGCAGCGTGGCCATCCCCTCTGGGGGGTGATTTCTTGCTTTCTGTCTCTGTCTGTCTGGCGAGTGCACGCGCCCTATAGTGAAAAGCCTCTCAAAAAAAAAAAAAAAAAAGTACTAAGAGGAGGAGAATGGAGGAATAGGGATTGTGGCATGGCCATAGTCCCTGACGGGTGGTTTCTCATTTTTTTTCTCTTTCTCTCTGTATCTCTCCAGCAAGTATCTCTCTAGTTTGCACCCTATAGCAAACAACAAACAAAACAAAACAAAACAAAACAGAAAATTAGCTGTTGATAAAGCGTAAGCCATCTCCAAGTCTGAGAACTTGATAAGTCAGACATTATACTTGTATCTTGTAAAAATACTTTATAGACTCTCTAATGAAACAAACAAAATATGGACAAAATTCTATTTAATAGCTATTATTATATCTGTAAAATAAAACTTTCCTGGCACAAAGAAATAGTGCTTTGTCAAAGTACCTACTAGAAAAGCCTTTTTTTGGGGGGGTAGATTTTGCTATAGGGCACTTGTGCTCACCAGAGACAGAGAGTGACAAAGAGATAGGAAGTGAGAATTCACCCCCGGGGGAGGGGGGAATGGCCATGCTGCAATCCCTTTTCCTCCTAGGATTTTGGGCACACATGCACACATGCCCAGCCTGAGTTTGAAGCCTTCGGGTCTGGGACTCAAATTGCAGTCGGCCACATAGGTGTTCAGGAACGTAACCGCTATGCCCTCTGTTAGTCCCTAGAAAGGGTTTTTAATTTCAATTTTTAAAACTTTGGTTATTTGAGGGGCTGGCAGTTGATGTGGTGGTTAAGGTGTCTAGATTTCTACCTGGCTGACGGTGATTCGAGTCCCAGACCTGGCAGCTTGCTTTCTCACTTTCCTTTTCTCTCTCTGGTCAACTTTAAAAAAATAAAGTAAACTAATGACAATGAATAAAATAAAATAAAATAATTATTTAAAAAAACTTTGGTTACTTGAGAACTGGAAAACATTATGCATACAAAGGAGTAATTAGAAAAAAATGGAAATGTCAAAATAAACTCAATAGTTTTCCCTTTTTCTTTTCCAGCCTTATAATCTGTGATTCTGAAAACAGTGTATGTTAATTTCATCATGTTTTTCCCTTCAGTTATATAAACATATGTATACTCACATATATTAGAGTTTTTTTTTTTTTAGAGGGGTTTTTGCTGTAGGGTATGTATATTCACGATTTTTGCTGTAGGGTTTGTATATTCACCAGAGAGATAGAGACAGAAAGTGAGAAATTACTCCCCCCACAGGGGGGATAGCCATGCCACAATCCCTTCTCTTCCAGTCTCATCTCAGGATTTTGGGTATGCATGCATATGCGCCTGGTGTGTTTTAAGCCTTCAGGTCCAGGATTTGAACTGGGGTCGACTAGATGGGAGACCAGTAACATAATCATTATGCCATCTGCTGGTTCCTGTACTGGGAGTTTTTTATAAGAGAGCTCTAAAACAATTTTTTTCTTTATTCATGATAGAGTACTTGCACATATACCTAAGTATGAAGAAAGAGAGAGATGAGCACACTTCACAGGGTCTGGCAATGCTGTGATCTCTTTTTTTTCATTCTCCGACTTATCATATTTTGGGCACTTGTGGTTTGTATTATTATGCACCATAGTACAATAAACATCTTAAGTTTGCTGCATATGAGCAATGAGTTTGTTTTTGTTTTTAGGTTTTTGCTATAGGACATGTATTTTTGCTAGAGAGGAGAGAGACAGAGACAATGAGAGAAAAAGTGAGAAATCGACTCCCGGGGGGACAGCCACACCACAACCCTTTCTCCTCCATTCTTCTCCTGGGATTTGGGGCATGCACACACACGTGCCTGGCATGATTTTCAAGTCATGAAGTCTGGGACTTGAACTGTGGCTGAACATGTGAGAGTCCAATGCCTTATCTACCATGCCACCTGCTGGTCCCACAATAAGATGATTTTCCAAATCATATAGAGAGATTTAGAGTGAGGTAGAGTTTTTCCTGCATTTCCTGAACATTTTCTTCCTGTGGACCAGTTGAGAGGGAAGATAATATCGATGTTGTCTGTTGAGTTGCATGTAGCTCATACCTCCACCTATTCTTTTTGTCACAGGACTCAGTGAAAATAAAGAACTAGGGAGAGGGATCAGCAGAGATCATAATAGTTGCATTGCTGGACTTTGACATGGCTGATTGCAATTCAAGTCCCAGACCTGGTGGCTTGAAATTTACACCAGGTGTGTGTATGTGTGTGTGTGTGCTCCTGAAATTCTAAGAGGAGAAGGGATTGCAGTGTGCCCATTCCCCCCAAGGGGTGATATTTTGCTTTCTGTCTCTCTGTCTCTAGTGAGCGCACACACCCGGGAGCAAAAGTCTCTCTTTAAAAAAGAAATAAATAAAAGAACTAGGGAGAAAGTGTAGACTACTACAGGGCTTCATGACCTTTGACAGTCAGTTATACCAGGCTTACATTGCACTGATGCTAGACCTACAGTGACCAGTAATACTGTAGCCACTAGCCACATGTGGCTATTTAAATTTGGATTATTAAAAATGAAAAAATATAAAATCAAATTCCTCAGTCAGGCTAGCCATATTTCTAGAACAACTGGTTCCTGACTTATGACTATGTGACTTATGATTATGATTTTTTTTTTGAGAGGTTTTTGCTATAGGGCACGTGCATTTGCCAGAAAGACACAGAGAGACAGAAAGCGAGAAATCACCCCTGAGGGGGGATGGCCACACCACAATCCCTTCTCCTCCATTCTCCTCTTGGGATCTTGGGCACGCACGCACACGCACCGGCATGAGTTTAAGTCACCAGGTCTGAGACTTGAGCCGCGGTCAACTACATGGGAGTCCAGCGACATAGCCATTACGCCAACTGCTGGTCCCATGATTATGACTTTTTTGACTTTACCTTTTGATGGCTTTATCTGGACATAAATAATCCTATTTTAAGTCAAGGAGCATGCAGACTCAACATTTCTGTATATTGATTAAGCCACTATATGGGACAGTGCAGATATAGAATATTTCTATCATCACAGATAGTTCTGTTGGACAGTGCTGGTTTAAAGACATCATAGAATTTTAATTCTCAATAAGTAAGTGGAAGGTAAATTCTCTGTTTCCATCCCTAGAACACCATCCTCAATGCGTGCCGTGCGAAAAATGAGTGGTTGGAAACCCACCCAGAAGCTCCCATCGATGAGCTTTTTGAGCAGAGACAACAACTGGAAGAAATTGTAACTCCCATCTTCACAAAAATGGCTACACCACGTAAGTTTTGAGTAAATGGTGGTTTGTATATTAGTAAAGATGAAAATTTGCTTGTGTTGTTATTTCTGAGATACTCTGACTGCAGCAATCTTCATTAAGTTTAACCTTAATACAAGCACTAATTCACGATACAGCTTCATAGTCTCATTATTAGTCTCAGTATTATGACTAATAAAAATAATACGTTTTTTTGTAGGGACTGCCTAATGCGAATCTTATTATTACCATTGTCAGTCATAAATTTTATGTAATCACTGTACTTTGATTTTTGAACAATGATTATCAACTCGGAAAGCATGTCCTGGGAGATAAGGTGGAAGAATTAGAAAAAGCATTTTCAGTATATAATCCTATATTGGGAGAAAAATCCAACTGTGGGAGTACCATCTTGAGAATGGGAGGGGTTTATGTCTTTAGAATGTTCTCTTATAGGTTTTTGCTATAGAGCACATGTGACTGCCAAAGGGAGACTGAGAGAGGGAAAGTAAGAAATCACCCCTGAGAGGAGATGGCCACACCACAATCCCTTCTCTTCCATTCTCCTTCTGGGATTTTGGGCATGCATACACATGTACCCAGCATGGTTTTCAAGTCACCAGGTCTGAGACTTGAATGTGGTGGGCCATGTAGGAGTCCAGCACCTTAACCACCATGCCACCTCCTGGCCCCTCATATTCAGAATCTTAATGGCAGGCTTACAAAAGATTTAAAGATTTTTTTGAGATGCAGTAGTCCCCCCTTATTTATGGAGTTATGTAACAATCCTCAGGAGATGCCTGAAAATGTGAATGGTGCCAAATCCTATATATATATAGTATGTTTTTTCTTATACATACATACCTATGATAAAGTTTAATTTATAAATTAGGCACAGTAAGAGACTAACAATAGCTAATAGTAAAATAGAAAAATTATGACAATATACTATAGCAAAAGTTAGAAATATGGTCTCTGTCTCTGAAGATATCTTATTACACCATACTCGCCCATTTTCAAACTGCAGTTGATCATGAGTAACTGAAGCCACAGAAAGTAAAACTGTGGGTAAGGGGACACCTGTGCAATTCTCATAGACACAATTCACCATTTTAAAGGGTACAATTCAGTGGTTTTTAATAGATTCACAAAGTTGTATGATTGTAATCATTATCTAATTTAGAACATTTTACTACCCTCAGAAGAAACTTTATACCTGTTAACAGTCATTTCCCATTCCTCCCTCCCCCAAGCGGTGGCAGTCACTAATGGATTTGCCTGTCCCGAACATTTAATAAATAGAATCGTACAACATATGTTGTCTTTTGTGGTTGGCTTCTTTCATTCATGATGTTTTTAAGGTTCACCCATGTCATACATGGCATGTTTCAGTATTGTGTTCCTTTTTATAGCCAAATAATATTCCATTGTATGGATACAGATTTAGTTCATTCATCAGTTGTGAACATTGAAGTTTCCACTATTTCGGCTATTATAATAATTCTGCAATGAGGGACCAGCAGATGGTGTAATGGTTATGTTGCTAGACTCCCACATAGTCAACCATGGTTCGAGTCCCAGACCTGGGGGCTTAAAACTCATGCTGGGTGTGTGTGCCTGTGTGCCCAAGATCCTGAGAGGAGAATGGTGGAGAAGGGATTGCAGCATGGCCATCTCCCCTAGGAGGTGATTTATCAGTTTCTGTCTCTCTGTCTCTCCGATGAGTGCATGTACCTTATAGTCAAAATCTCTCTTAAAAAAAAATACCATGATCTGTTGTATGAAATTTTTTGTGTTGCCATATGTTTTCATTTTCTGTTGTATACAAATAGTAAAATTGCTGGGTCATATGGTAACTCTATATCTAACTTCAGAGAAACTGCTGAACTATTTTCTATTTTCTTTTCTCACTAGCAATATATTATGATTCCAGTTCTTCCAGATCTTTGTCAATATTTGTGACTGTCATTTATTTATTTTTTTCAAAGCTTACTTCTTCCAAGAGAGAGAGAGAGTGAGAGAGTGAATCACAACATGGTCCCCATGCGTTCATCCACCTTCAGCTCAACTAGCCCAGTGCACAGGCATGTTGAACTGGCATGTACAGGGAAGCCCCAGGATACAAATGGGTACCCTCTCACCGTGGGTTCGATTGCATAATTGCTGTGTTACCACCTGCCCCCTCTCCATTAAAAAAAAAAAATTGAGCCATCCTAGTGGGTATGAAGTAGTATCTTAATGTAGTTTTTTTGTTTTGGAGAGATTTTTACTGTAGGATGCATCTGACACATGTGCTTGCCAGAGAGGCAGATAGAAAGTGAGAAATCACCCCCTCCCCGCCCCCCAGGGAGGATGGCTACACCGCAGTCCTTTCTCCTCCATTCTCTTCCTGGGATCTTGGGCATGGACACACACAGGACCCAGCATGAGTTTGAAGTCAATGGGTCTGAGACTCCAACTGTGGTCAACACATCAAGTCAATGGGTCTGAGACTCCAACTGTGGTCCACACATTGGAGTCCAATGACTTAACTGCTACGCCATCTGCTGGTCCTGTAAATGCAGTTTTGATTTGTACTTCCCTAATTAATAATATTAAGCACCTTTTCATGTGCTTACTGAAATTTTTTTTTTCTAGAGAAATGTCTATTTAAATTATTTATTTGTTTTTATTTCATTTTTTAATTTTTAAAAAATTTGTGATCCGACCACATGGGCCTAGTTGTAAAGGAAGCTGGATCCCATGTAGCTGACCATTGTTCAAATCCTGAACTCAGCATCTTGAAAAACATGCTGGGCACACATGTATATTTGCCTCACATCCTGACAGGATGGAGAAATGGTGGAGAAGTGATTGCAGCATGACCTTGTCCCATTAAGGGATGTGTCCTCTCTCTGTCTCTCTGCAGTACATGGAACCTCTGGCAATTATAAAATAAATTCATTATAGAGAATTTTACTCTATAATTTACATGTTACTCATATAAGAGAGAGGAGAAAGAGAATCACCTCCACAAAACTTGCTTTGCAAACATTTTGTTGTGTTTGTTTTCATTCTTTATTGTTTATTTGTGAGTGTTCTTTGTGTATTCTAGATACAAGTCTCTTATTACAAATATTATATCGATAATTTCTTCCATTCTTTGGATTATATTTGCATTTCCTTTTTTTATTTGCCAGAGGGCATGTGCACTTGCCACAGACAGAGAGACAAAGAAAAGAGTGGGATGTGGCCATGCAGCAATGCCTCCTCCTCCAGCTCTCTATCCTGTTGGGATTTGGGGCACACACACATATATGCCCAGCATATATGTTTTTCAAGCCACTGGGGCTAGGAATTGAACTGTGTGGTTGGCTGTCTAGCTCTTGACTAATGGATCATGGGACTAGCCCTCTTCATTTTCTTAAGTATGTGTTTTGAAGTACAAGTAACTAATTTTGATACAGTCCAATTTGTCTGTTTTCCTTTTGTTGCTTAGGCTTTCTGTGTCACATTTAAGAAAGCATCAACTAATCCACAGTCACCACGATATAACTATACATTTTTTTTTGGAGAGGTTTTTGCTATAGAGCGCACGCGCTTGCCAGAAAGACAGAGAGAGACAGAGAGATAGAAAGTGAGAAATCAGCCCCCGGGGGGATAGCCACACCACAATCCTTTCTCCTCCATTCTCCTCTCGGGATTTTGGGCATGCACGCACATGCACCCAGTGTGAATTTAAGTCACCTGGGCCGGGACTTGACCCGCAGTCGGCTACATGGGAGTTCAGCGACATAGCCACTATGCTAACTGCTGGTCCCTAATTCTACATTTTCTTCTAAGCATTTTAGTTTTTAGTTTTAGCTCTTACATTTAGTTCTATGATCCATTTTGAGTTTTTGTCTGTTTCTTTTTTAATGTGGCATGAGATAGGGGGTACAATTTCAAGTTTTGCATGTAGATTTTTACTACTTAAGATTTTTATGTTTATTAAAAGGGATTGTAGATTTTAAGGGATTAAAACACTTAGTCTAGTCTAGATGGGGTGACAGAATAGCCTTACTTCTAGTATCTATCGAGTATACACGTAGTACTCTCACGGTACTCTGAAGGGTAGACTGTCCCTGTCTTTAAGGAGCCTACCATATAGTCTGTGAGTAAAACATATACCTGAAGAGATGAAATAAGTGCTGTGTGTGTTCAGAGAAGTCCAAGTATAAAGAGAATGAATTATGAAGAAAGAGGAACTGGGGCCAGCAGGTGACAGGGATTAAGGTGGCTAGATCCCAAATAGCCAACTGTGCAATTCAAGTCCTGGACCTTGTGGCTTGAGAAACACCCTGGACGTGTGTGTGTGTGTGTGTGTGTGTGTGTGTGTGTGTGTGTGTGGTGTATGACTATGTGCGTGCGCACAATCCCAAAAGAAAAATGAAGGAGAAGGGACTGTGATGTGGCCATTTCCCCCTGGGGCGTGCATTCTCACTTTCTTTCTCTCTAGCAAGCACATGTGCACTGTAGCAAATTAAAAACTAAAAATAAAAAAAGAGGAATTGCTTGGGGCCAGCAGGTGGTGTGGCAGTTGAGTTGGTTGGATTCCCACATGGCTCATCGTGGTTCGAGTCTTGGACATGGTGGCTTGAAAATAACGCTGGGTACATGTGCATGCGTGCATGCCCAAAATTCCAAGAGGAGAATGGAGGAGAAGGAAGTGCAGTGTGGCCATCACCCTTGGGTGGTGTTTTCTCACTTTCTCTCTCTCTCTCGCCTCTCTGGTGAGCACATGTGCCCTATGGAAAAAACCTAAAAATGAAACAAAACAAAACAAAAAAAAGTGAATTGCCTGAAAGGATGCAGATCCAGAGTAGAATATGAAGGAAATTCCAAAATGAGAGCACAATATGATGATAAAATGTTTAAACATGGCTATAAGAAAGTGACCAGTACCCATTTGGCTGACAGTAGTTAAGTCTGTGTTAAGGAACAATAGAAAATAAGATCTTAATGTTAACTTGTAATCATGTTTTTAAAACTTCTGGATCATAGCCTTAGAAGTTTGAGTTTTATTTATTTTTTTGACAGTAAGATGCCATTAAAGGACTTTGGGTGGGAGAGATTAGGGGAAAATAAGCTGACTTTCTTTATAAATGGGTAGGAAGGAGAGGAGACTAGGGAAAGCTAGACCAGTGTGTTCTAGGAGTGAGATGATTAAGACCTGAATTATTTGTTATACAGTTGGGTTTCCACCTGCTCCACCACTACCATTAGCCTTGCCCAGCAGCTCCCTTTCTTTCCCTTCTCACCTCTGGAGAAGAATTGCCTCTTTCCCCAATTTTCCTATCTTACATCTCCTCCAAGCACTTTCATGCTGTAGAATGTTAGATCTTGATGGAACCTTTGGAATGACCTTCATTTTATAATGAAGAAAGTTAAGACAAGAGAAATTCAGTAGTTTCTTTGAAGTTAATCTAGTCAGTGGCAGAACTAAGGGCATGATGCTCGTATATGGGGAATGTGACTGTATAACTTTACATGTCAAAGGAAAGAAAAAGAGAAGATATTTGAATTGGTATACCAACCACACTAGGGTTTAATTAATAGCTGGTTCAGGCTTGGGTATACTGATTTATCCTGTGCCTGTTGTTTAAAAAGCCTACTTCAATTAATAAATGTAAATAAAAATAAATAAATAAATAAATAAGAGATTAGAAAAAAAAGCCTACTCCATTTTGTTTCACATTACAAACTAATTGAATATAATTTTAAAATCTGTTTCTTTTCAGGTCAAGTGAAAAGTGCCAAATCTGTAAACTAAGCCATGGTCAGAAGAGAACTCAAGATTATACTGTCTACTAAACATTTATTTTGTAAAGGTCACATTTTCTTCTGGGATAGGTAAAGACAAACCTATTCATGGCACCTGAAATCAAGAAAATATGCATAGATGTAGGGTTTCATAAAAGTGTTTAAGTGAAAAATTAAATCACTCTTGTGTTGTTTTACCCTTTTCAGCCTGCCCATGTCTGGGCAGACTTCTGGCTTTGCTTCTGCCCCTTTAAGCACAGCCCCAAACAAGTTTACATAATCCTTACAGAAAGCACTTGGGTAGAAACCATTCACAAAGACTAGGGAGATGTTTTAAAAGCAATATAGAGAATATCATAATTTACTGTGTAACCAAAGTAGGAAATTTCCATCTGACTTAGGAATTCCATTTAAAAAAGACATATTTTGCTGGTTCCTAAGGAAAAATGTTTTCCCTCTCTCCAAAAGAAATGTTGTGGGATGTCATTCTAGAGCAAGAAAATATCAAGAATTATTTAGATCAGGGTCCTCTGATAACAACTCTTACTTTTTATAATTAAATTAAAATTCAACTGTAAGATGAGATATCATCTCTGAGTAACCCCCTATTTATCTTTTACTTCTTTCTATCTTTAAGATAAACACAAATCTGTAGTTTTATATTTAGAAGATTTCCCCTATTCTGAAGCTTGAAACCTGCAGATAACTGGACTTCATGCCATTTTTCTCTCTTGTTTTGTCATATTTCCTAGGTTTAAAATATAGTTTCGGGCCAGCCAGTGGTGTGGTGGTTAAAGCGCTGGACTCCTACATGGCCAACCATAATTCAAGTCCTAGACCTGGCAGCTTGCTTTCTCAATTTTTTTCTCTCTCTCTCTCATTTTTCCTCCTCGATCAAATTAAAATAATAATAATAACAATAATAAAATTTTAAAAAATTATAATTTCATACTGGCAATCTGGAAGGGCCTCTATTTCTATTTATTCAATCAAGCTCCTATCCCTGTTACTTTGTGACTTTCTTGAAAAGTTTTACAGAAAATAAAACTTTTTTTATTAAGAAAAAAAAAAAAGCTTTTATTTTTTGTTCTTATGACTTTCACTTCTTTGTCCCACTTTGAAATCTAGTTTTTTTTTTTTTTTTTGAGATTTGCTATAGATAGCACTCACCAGAAAGAGAGAGACAGAGAGACAGAAAGCGAGAAATCATCCCCCAGGGGGGATGGCCAAGCCGCAGTCCCTTCTCCTCCACTCCTCTCGGGATCTTGAGCACGCATACACACGCACCCAGCGTGAGTTCAAGCCACGGGGTCCGGGACTCGAACCGTGGTCGACTACATGGGAGTCCAGCGACATAGCCATTACGCTAACTGCTAGTCCCAAAATCTAGTTTTTTTATCATAGAGGGGAAGGAAAATAAATGAGCAATTCAGTAATACCTTGTTGGTTGACATATTCTCAATCATGGTTTTGAGGTAACTCTGTTTTAATGTATCCTGAATTTTAAGTTTTTAGTTTTTTTTTCCCCTGACCTCAGATACTTTTAATGTTTGAGCAGGTTAGTTTCAGTTTTCTTAGGCAAAAGAACAGGAAAATAATGCCCACCCCCATCTTTGGTAGACCCAATGGATATTTATGGAGTGGTACAAAGAGGTAGACCTGTGTCGCTCCTTCTCTTTATACAGTTCATTGTGAGAAGTCCTGTATCCTTAGGTATTGCAATAATTTAAGAAAAATCCAGGTGCCGTTTTTGTTGTTTCTATTTTAACCCTGTATTTTCTGGGCCTTGATCGTGAATACAACATTACTTTCCAGGCATGTGTTCCGGGTGATTAGAGAAAGATTCTTGGATCTAATTTCAATAATTCCTAGTTAAGACTGAGGAATTTCTGGAGACCCATTCGTATAAAATAAACCTCTCTTCCTGTTTGTAAGGGAATGCTCTTCTCTACCAAGAGTCAAACTATTTGTAACTTTTGATACATTTACTAATGCTGTATTTTTGAGACTCCTTGTATTGGTACCTTCATGCCAATCATGTTTTCTCTACTTTCTTACGAATTACTTTTCTAACTCCTTCACCAACTCATCTTCTTTATCTTTCCCCCACCTTTGGGGACTTGTCAAAATTCAATTGTGACCTTTGGAAAAGCAATCTGTAATTCTCCACCCCATGACTTTCTGTATTCCCAATATTACGAAGAGTTAATCCTTCTTTCATTGGGGTACTCCCAGTGCTAAGTGACTCATGGTGTATTCTATTCAACTGTTTGCATATTTGTCTCTCCATGTGAAGCATAGACTTTAAAAAATTTTTTTTCGAGAGTTTTTTGCTATAGGGCACGTAAGACTGAGGAATTTCTGGAGACCCATTCGTATAAAATAAACCTCTCTTCCTGTTTGTAAGGGAATGCTCTTCTCTACCAAGAGTCAAACTATTTGTAACTTTTGATACATTTACTAATGCTGTATTTTTGAGACTCCTTGTATTGGTACCTTCATGCCAATCATGTTTTCTCTACTTTCTTACGAATTACTTTTCTAACTCCTTCACCAACTCATCTTCTTTATCTTTCCCCCACCTTTGGGGACTTGTCAAAATTCAATTGTGACCTTTGGAAAAGCAATCTGTAATTCTCCACCCCATGACTTTCTGTATTCCCAATATTACAAAGAGTTAATCCTTCTTTCATTGGGGTACTCCCAGTGCTAAGTGACTCATGGTGTATTCTATTCAACTGTTTGCATATTTGTCTCTCCATGTGAAGCATAGACTTTAAAAAATTTTTTTTCGAGAGTTTTTTGCTATAGGGCACATGTGCTCACCAGAAAGACAGAGACAGAGAGATAGAAAGCGAGAAATCACTCCCCAGGGGGGATGGCCACTCCACAATCCTTCTCCTCCATTCTCCTCTCGGGATCTTGGACATGCACGTACACTCACCTGGCATGAGTTTAAGCCACCAGGTCCAGGACTCGAACCGCGGTCGGCTCCATGGGAGTTCAGTGACATAGCCATTACGCTAACTGCTGGTCCCTTAAGCGTAGACTTTTTGAGGGCAGGGACTTTGCCTTTTTTCTCATACTTAATGAGTCTGTAAGATAGTAATTTAGTAAATGATAGTTGAACGAATTCTCTTTTAGTACTACCTTATTTATAGAACTCATTATCTCCTCATGCATTTATAAAGCTTGTTCTCCTTTAGGATTACCAAAGCTTGTCTCCATCTTTCTTATGTCAACTCGTTCGGTAGACAAGCTACAGCCAACATTATGACTTTGTATGTAGTTTCTCTCTGACCTTCTGTTTTCTAAACCTTCATCTTGAATGTCACATCACTCTTCAGGCATGTGAACCCAGTGATTACAAAGGGATTCCTGAATCTTGCTTTAAAGGTTTCATTGATGTGAGTATTTGAACATTTTCTTATATCTATCTATCTATAACTTTAGTCTGTTTTGAGAGCTGTAGTACCACTTGTTACTGTTGTTGTATTGAATTATAAATTCATGGTACAGTTAAAATGCCCTTATGCTTCAAGTTTGAACTGTTATCTGGTAGCTGCATGACTTTTTCTGAGCATCCATAGACTAATTACTATTTCAAGTGCGTACTAGAAATCAAGAAAGCCTCACATTATTTGAAAGGAAGTCAATCAAAGGTTAAACCCAAGGCTATAGTAACTTTTAGATAGTGGTTCTTTAGACTTCTGTATTTCATCGATCACAAGAAATGTAAGAAAAAAGGGGGAGGAGAAACTGATATGATATCATTAAGGAGATAACTGCTGTCCACTATTAATATCACTTAGTAAAAGACATCCTAACACCAGAGAAGAAGGGAAGATAGCTCAGCATAAGGCTCGAACTTTTAAGTTGAGTAAATTAAGCTATTATAGACCTTTATGTTATATTTCTTTTTCTCACTTTACCATGCATGATGGAACTTTTGTCATGAATCAGATCTGACATGTGGTCCAGCCTTGTGAACTACTGCTTCAGACCAAACTAAAACAGGCAGACTGCTATTTAGGTTAACACAATGCCCCAAATTGTAAAGGACTGACTGTTACCTTAATGTCTGATACTATCTAATACGTGGTAGGTTGTATTTTCTAAAATGTCCACATTGCCCATTCCACATTTTCTTCTTACAATGTGGTCATGACACTGTTCACAAAGAGAGGCAGGCCTATTCTCTCCTCTTAAATCTAGGTTGGCTGGTGACTACAGTGGAAGTGATTCTATACAGTTCCAAAGCAAGATCATAAATGGTGATGCAGCTTCTATCCAATTCTCTTGAGATGTTTGCTCTTAGAAACCAGCCTCTGAAGAGACCCCCATGGAAAAGAACTAAGACTCCAGTCTATATTCCTGTCTGAGCTCTAGCCAGCTGTCACCCCAATATGCCAGACAGAGTGAACTGTCTTGGAACTGGGTCCTCTGATCACGTCACCCAGCTGAAGCTGTATGGTCTGAAAATAAGCCTTCTTACTGAGCCTGGCAGAACTGCAGATCGTGAACTAAATAAATGATTGTTGTTTTACTTACTCAGTTTTGTGCGTGTTTGTTTTACATATACACATTTTGTTACTTGGAAATAGAAATCAACATAATAAAATCTGAAACACACAGCATAGGCTTTGGGTCTGGATGGTAGGCAGAAGCCAGAGAAGATAATGTTTTTTTTTTTTTTTTTTAAGAGAGAATTTTCCTATAGGGTGCATGTGCTTGCCAGAGAGACAGAGAGAAACAGAAAGTGAGAAATCACTCACCCTGCCCCACCCCGCCCCCCCCGGGAGGTGGCCATGCCACAATCCCTTCTCTTCCATCCTCCCCTCAGAATTATGGGCACACACACACACATACACACCCAGTGTGAGTTTTAAGCCACTAGGTCTGGGACTTGAACTGTAGTGGATGACATGGGAGTCCAGCACCGTAACCATTACACCATCTGCTGGTCCAAAAACACCTTTCTTAAAATACACAGTTCCTGGCGCTTATGGTAGAGATGGGCCCAGTGACTCAAAAGATTCATAGCAGTCTATATAAAAAATAAAATTGTAGGGACCAGCAGATGACTTAATGGTTACGTCACTGGACTCTCATGTAGTTGACCATGGTTTGAGTCCCAGACCAGGTAGTTTAAAACTTACATGGGCTGCAAGTGCGTGTGTGCCCAAAATCTCAAGAGGAGGATGGAGAAGGGATTGCAGCATGGTCATCCCCCCTGGGGGGTGATTTCTCACTTTCTGTTTTTGTCACTCTCTGTCTCTCTGGTGAGCACACACACTCTGTAGTGAAAATCTCTTTTAAAAAACAAAAAGAAGTTGTAAAGAATATTTTGGGGAGTGGTATGTGGGTGCCACTGGTAGTTATTATAGTCAGGGCCAGACAGAAACTTAATGACTGAAACTCTCAAGTAGGAAATGCGACTTTGCTTTGTCAAAGGCTCCTTGGTACATGGTGATGCAGATGATGGATAGATTCAGTGATCTTACCGCTCTGATATTCTTCTGGTGCTCTTGGGGAGTGGATAGGCAGCAATCTTGATTAGTGTGGCATAGGAATTAGAGGGTCAATATTATTGTCTCGGATTAGCTATTCCTTGAAAACAACCTGCAAAATGATGATTTATGTACATTTGTTTAATATTTATACTGTATTCATTTTAGTGATTAGATCTGAGGCAAAATATGTTAAGTATCTCAGAATGTGGGGCATCACAGATATGGAGATAGGTTTGGAGTCATTTAAAGGTGAACGGGCTCTATTGAACTCAGGGCCAGCAAGTGGCAAGGAGGTTAAG